ATGTTTAATGTATGTGACTGTCTGTCATTGTTGGTTGTTTGTCCTCGGTTTGGTTTTGGTTTTTGCGGTGTTTATTGTCGCGGTTTCCTCCATGGTACCCAAAAGTAAACCTCGACTGTTTGCAGATGCATATTTCGCTATTGAGATGCACGATGCACGTGTCAGCGGCATTGGGTGGAGGTGGGATCACTCCAGGGTTTCCTTGGAAAATCACTGGCTGAACAACAAAAGGCAATTGTCGGTTAAATGCGAGAATTTACTTGCCTATATTAAGTACGCTTTGCTTTTTTTTGTATAATTAATTTTCAATATGGCTGACCTATGGCAGGAAGTCATGTGTGTATAAGTATGAATCTATATATAGTATAAAGCCTCACTACATTTATTTCTTTTGTTTTGAAATTCTTTTCACAAAAGCTTATTTTTCTTGAATAAGTATTTCTTATTATTTTTTCCCCACATATATAATGTACATGCCGTAGTTGTTGTAGTGCCCGCCTGTTGATAAGGCCGTCGTTGTTGTCGTCGCCGCAACTCAACGACCGTAGAGGGAAATTGTAGGACCGCCGAGTGGAGCGGTACCCGGGAACGAGACCCAGCAGCATTTGACTCGCATTTTGTTTTTCTGTCGTTCCAACCGCCATACATATATAATATATATATATATATATATACATATATATATGTGTGGCAATACATGGGCGCAATTTAAATGGTACGAGTGCGAGTATACGGCCACTTGTTGGGTGACACTGCCTGGAGCTCAGAGGCAATGCCCCACCCCTCGGATGGACGGAGGCCAGAGTTTTTGTGCTTTTTGGGTTCGTTGATCGTCATGCTGGTTTCATGCAATCGTCATAATTCTCCCCACTATTCCTTTTCTGTCCCCAGTCTTTTTGTTGTTAATGTATGTTTGGTATCTATAATATGAAAAACTTTTTAAGAATACTCCCAAAACTGTACATTCGTAAACAAAGCCAAACATTTCACTTAGTTCCTTTTTTTACATTAAACAACAAACTTGAATCTACTGATTTATATTTGCCAGAAGTTTTGTTCATTTGCTTTTAATAAACACTGATATCTAAATGTTACAACTTTTTTAAATATCAAGCTAAACGAAAAAAAATAATTCCAGAACTTCACAACCCATAAAGAAAAATGACTGTTTGCTCAGAACGAAATACCAAAGATATATATACATCTAATGAGTAATAATGGAATTTCAGCTTTATATACATATAAACAAAATATGTTACTTTTAGCACGCCATTTTTGCGAATTCCATAAGCCGAATCATTGGTTTCGAGGGCTATTATTGGTTATGACAAGCTGAATCGATCAAGAGCTCTCCCAACGGCCCTAAATTGACCCTTAGGAACTTACAAAGTGGTCCAGAAGGAGCAGTCCAGATTCCCAAGCATATTCCGCCAACGTTTGGGAATACATTTCCTCTAGGTCCAGAATTGAGTGTTCTGATCCGTTGCGCTCATTATGAGGGGCGTTCGGCACATGTGGTTTACATCGATGATGATGACCGAACCCCGGCACTGGGCATCTGGCGATCGATCTCACGCGCTAAGCAAGCGTACAAATTTCGGCATCGATATTGCCCAGATTTTGAGTGGGCGTTAACCCGGCAAATGAAAGTGTCACACAGGTCACGCCGACCGATCACAACTCTTTCGAGGAACGATGAGGAGGCGGGTGGCTTTCCCAAGGCGCCCGACTGCCGATTATGTTTGGTTAAACTCACGTCGCTTTTGTGGTTAAACACATTTAAAGGATTTCCCTTTGCGCCGGCGCAACTTTCCTGCCAATTTTCCACGCCAAACGGGTTTTCTTCGGTTTCACGCCCGTCAGATCACTGTGATAATCGCGTGGGCACGACCCACGGATCCACACCGGTGCGCTAGATGGGAGTGGACCGGACCCGCATCCGAGCTCCGACCTACTACTACAACTTTTCAAATGCTACTCGGCCGGGAGCCACCCAAAGCAATGCGAGTAAAATATTCTTGATTAAAACTTATCAGAGCACATTTCATATCACCTTTTCAAAAACGCAACAACAGCAAAGTAACGATTGTACTTATTATCGGCAACGCAACCGTCGAACTCATTGCGCCGTGTACTCGGCACTTAGGCGTAGTTTGGCTGTCGCCGGTTCCGCTGATTGGACGCCGCCAAGATATGGCTATCTGAGCCGGGCCCGATTCCCAGCCCCACAGACGCCACCGCAGAGCCGCCACACGGGAGCGAGCAGGACGCCGGCACAGATAGAGCGAGAGGCGGCGAAGGCGATACCAAAACACGATTTGATTAAGTTGCATCACGCGCCGGTCGCGCGACTATCCTTATCGTGGCAACTCTCCGACTTGGCATTCAGTCAGTCCGAGTCCTTATCAACTGGTTTGGCCAGATTTCGATTTGGTGACGACAACACCGAGAATCCACATCCGATTGTCACTATCGCTCCACTGGTTAATCATTGAAAAGAGGTAATGGGAGACCTCAGATTGCCCATCAAATTCTGACATTGTAATAAAAACCAAAGTAAAAACTTCAATTAAAATGTTATTTATTTCAGGATCAGAAATCATAGATTATTTGGAAACATATATGATTAACTTTTTCTATTTTTAAATTTAAATCAGGAAACTGAGTTTATTGCCGAGTAACTTAAAATAAGAGATTTATTAAATGTAAATCTTGGCGAAAAAGAAATTTAACACAAATTACAATAACAGAATATGTAATTAAAACAAAAGTTTGTTTTGAACAATTAAATATATTTAATTATTAAAAATCCATCTGGTTCCAGCCCCCTTTTAAAGAACTGATAACTCAACAAACGACCTTGGCTATCTGGTTCACTCCCTTTTCTGGCTCACTCCTCCAGCGATAAAGTTCAACAGCATAACTAAAACAAAAATACAAACAATAGATACGCCAGGGAGATGCCAAACAGTCTGGTTTGCTTCGCATACAAAAAATACATAATAAGAAAGTTTTCCAAAAACGACGATAAAAAAGTGTCGAGGAATTCCTATCCAATAACAAAATGCCGGTTGTGACGTCATGCGGATTGATAACAGGCCCAGTAATCAAAAAACAATATAAAAAAAAAACTAGAGAACAAACATATTGCAAACAGAAACATTGATAAAGCCAAAAGAATCAGAAGCGAGAAGCGGGTGACGAGGCGAAAACAATGCAGGCGAGATAAGGAGGTAAATAACCTGGTAGAAGACTTTAAGTCGGCGCCTCAAGCCGCAGACGAAGATCCGACCATGGGAGGAGTGGGAGAAGGAGGCAGAGTAGGCCCTGGCCACGGGGTGCGGGTCATCCATGTGGGGAGGAGCAAAAGGAGGAGGAATAGCGATAAGGATGCAAGGGTACGGGTGCAGTGCGGGTGTTGGCCTGGGCTATCAGTGAAGCAGTAGCAAAGTCCGGAAGATGCCTTGTGGTCGAAAGATAAAAGGCCAAAGTGAGTGGGCATAAAGAACGGAAACACACTGAAAAAAAATATGGAAGCGTTGGCTATTCATAAGCCATAAGGCTCAGATTTCACAGAAAAGATCACATCATCAGAACTATTAATAATTATTCAGAAGTGTGCTTATAAAATATGTAATGCCTTTTTTAAATTTTAAACACTGAGTTTTGGCACTGTGATTATCATCAAACTAAATACTACACAATAGGTAAAAAATTGAATTTGAAATAAGAGACTTAAATTTAATTTAAAATATATTCTATGAACAATTGGCCATCCGAAATCAACGAATTTAAGGACCAAAGTATAGGGAATGCATTTCCCACAGTGTGGGATAGTGGGAGAAAAATTGTGGCTTATCTGCCTTTTGCTTCTGGCTCGGCTTTTGCTTTTGTTTTGTTTGAGATGGGCCTTTTAATACAATATTATAATGACCATTTAAATGAAATTCATATAAAGAAAGAAAGGGGAAGGCGGGCACAACTACAAGCCAGAGATAAGGCTTTCCCGTACCACGCACCGAAACCCTCTTATGCTTGCAGGAATTATTGTTTTATGTATTGAAACACAGGCTCCATTACGTTTAGGGTCGCGTTTAGCGCTCCGCGTAGAAATAAATAATCTACGCCATGGATGTGTGCTGTATGCCATAATCCGCAGCCATTTCATCGTGACAGAGCACTGATAAGCAGGGATTTGTATGAAACAAAACCGAACTAAATTGAAAAATAAATTCAAAATGGTGTGGTGTGGTAAGAGGTCAACTGTATTTACTAGCAACAGGCACTTCTAATGGGGCTGGCTCGTCTGATAGCCCCATCAAATTCAAGGTACTTGGGTCACAGAAAAGCAGATTTCAACGAGAGTAGCCCAAAATATTTCTCGCCACTCAAGTTTTCTAATGATAAATGAACACAAAATCGATTTCAACTGATCAGATAAGTTGTGACATTATTTACACATTAGTCAATAGAATAAGTTTGGGTGCGAGAGGGGCAAACAATTGATAAGAGTGAAATTAGGTGTCTTATTGTGATAGACGGGAGCAAATATTTGCTGGGCAAACTATGCACTCAAACAATAATTCTGTCTGGCAAACATTTGGATTGGCCATTGCTGATAAGATTTACTCCGAACAATATGCGACTATACCATATACATTAAATTTTGAACTTTGTAAAAAATATGAATTAAGAATTTAAATGATATAAGTTACTGCTAGCGACCAAATAAATATGTTATAGCAGTAAGTTATAGCATTAAAACCATTTTCCTGAAATAACATTTTATTCAGCCCTAAAAGTATTCAACACTTTATTTTAAAATCCCTTTAAGAACGCATACTTGGAAAAAAAAAATGCCATGCCAATTTTGGATTGATTTGTTGACCCTTTTAAAGACGACTGACTTAAAATTCCCTTTTTTGTATTCTCGTTGATTCAATCTAATTGAATAAATATACCAGCATTTATTTATTACAAACTTTTTATTATTAATTTCTAAAATTCTGTTTGTGATTACAAAGGAACAGAGGGCAACTTTCCGAAACGGATTCGAAAAATAAAGTATTTCAGATGGTTTTTATAAATTTTCAATCTAGCCTAGAACAGAAGTTTTACTGGAAGTCTTGGAGTGGGAAGCGATAGTCTACTTTTTCAGTGCCTGCACAAAGTTGCCCAGATCGTATTCCTCCTCGTACTGATGCTCGGACCACAGCTCCGGAAGGTTCTCGATAATGGTGTTCATGGACATGCCGCCCTGTGCTGATCCTGTTGCCGTTGTTGATCCAGATACTGCTCCTTGGTCTTTGCCTCCGTTGAATAGATCAAAGATTTGCGAGGTTCCCATCGTTTGAAGCGAGGCGTTCTCCGCACTCACCACAGTGTTGGCGGTGAGTATCTTGAACTTCTGCAGCCCCATGATCTTTTCCTCCAGCGAGTTACGCGTGATCAGACGGTAAACATTTACCACTTTCTTCTGACCGATTCGATGCGCTCGGTCCATGGCCTGCAGATCCTTCATGGGGTTCCAGTCGTGCTCGACAAAGATGACCGTATCGGCACCGGTCAGATTAAGACCCAGGCCACCAACCTAAAAAATGATATATATATACATACATATATAATACGTTCGCAATTTAAGGGTTTAACCTATGCTTACCAGAGTGGTTAGAAGCAACACATCAATGCTGGGATCGCTGTTAAAGTTGTTGACTATATCCTGGCGCTGGGATGCGGGCACACTACCGTCCAGCCGCAGATAGGTGACGCTGGACAGGTGCCGACGCAACAAATCGTGCTCCACAATGTCTAACATCGCCTTCAGCTGGCAGAAGATCAGTGCACGATGCTGGCTAACCGACTCTGTCTGTACACCAATGCCGCAGTCTAGGAGAAGTTGTCTGTTGAAAGTTAAAATATAAATTAATATAAAAATAATCTCCCAAGATTTTTAAACTTACTTCAGGGCCGGCAACTTGGCCGAGTGCTCAATGTCGTCCAGTGAGCTGTTGGAGAGCGCCAGCTGACTGGCCACCTGAGTGAGCTCCTCGGACTGGCGCAGCACAAGCTTGGGATGGTTGCACACGTTCTGCAGGTATCGAAGCGCCTGGAAAATATGCGTCTTGGCGCTGAGATTCTCCGTCACCATCGCTGGCGTCGACGAGTCGCCCAGCTTATCCAAACAGTCTTTCAGGTGCTTATTGCTAAAGTCTTCATAAAGTCGAAGCTGGAGCGGACTTAATTCGCACAGTAAGTCCTGTGTGATCTTGGGCGGCAAGTCCTTAAGCACGTCCTCCTTAACGCGGCGAAGTAGGAAAGGCAGGACTTGGCGATGCAACGCCTCCATGGCCAGCACGCCGGCCTCTTGTTCCTTGGCCGAACTCTTTGCATCCCGTGATGCCAGAATGGGGCGCGAGAAGCGTTGCACGAACTGCTTCTCAGTGCCCAGGAATCCTGGCATTAGGAAGTCGAACAAAGACCAGAGCTCTAGTACGTTGTTCTGGATGGGCGTGCCAGAGAGGATCAGTCTGTGGTTGGCCTTTAGTCGCTTGATGGCCTTAGAACTCTTTGTCTTGCCGTTCTTGATGATGTGGCCCTCGTCTAGGACGCAGTAGTTGAAGTGAATACCGCTGAAGAAGTCTATGTCCTTACGCACCGTGTCATAGGAGGCCACCACCAGGTTGCAGCTCGTTCCAATCTCATTCCTCAGCTTCTCTCTGCCCACTGGGAATCCGTAGTAGTGCAGAGGACGCAGAATGGAACCCTGTGTCAGAAACTTCTCTATTTCGTACACCCAGTGACCAGTCAAAGTGGGGGGGCATATGACAAGACTGGGCAGATTGGCCGAATTGTTTGCCTGGCGGTGGAGGTGATCCCCAGCAAGGATGCAGATCGTCTGCAGGGTTTTGCCTAAACCCATGTCGTCACAAAGGATGCCGTGCAGATTGTACTTGTTCAGGAACCACAGCCAGTTAATGCCTGCTTGCTGGTAGCAGCGCAATTCCACGTTTATTGGCACGGGAACCTTGTAGTTGGGAATGCTCTTTGGATTAAAAAGGTAGTCGAGGAATTCTCGGTCGCGGGTCTTGCGCGCCTGCAGCGGCTCGCTCTTTAGTTGCTCCGCCTTACCGTCTAGTGGCATTAGCTGGACGAGATTAGCAAAACAGTGGGTCGAGAGCAGTCGCACTGATTCATCAGGATCGCTCATTGCTCCCAGCAGAGGCACGACCAGGAGCACGATGTAGGGTACCACTTTTATTTGGAGCCGGCTTACTACTCGTTCGATAGCCTCCACTGCTCCCTGGCGCTCAATGAGCTGCTCAATCTTTTTAAGCAGCGGTAACAGATCGTGCACCACAAACTGCATGGTCTGACAAGCATCGATCTCTGCCAGCACGGCGATGCAGCGGGCGGCCATGTGGCGGACCGCCTTAAGAGGATGACAAACAATAAACCCAAGCGGTAGCAGCAGGGCGAACATCTGAGGATGCAGTGCAGGATGAAGATGAGGGGCCGCCGTCTCGATCAGCTGCAAAGAGCTAAGGAGCTCGTTGCATACTCCCAAATCTGGCAAAATGCAGCCCAACTGCCTATCGTAAGTTTCCTTTACGAACTGCTCCACCTTGCCGAACATCAACTGCTGGAAAACAGCCACCTTATCTACGATGTGCTCTCCAAAAGTCCTACACAGTTTCTCTATGGCACAGGCCGCTCCCATGCGCTGGATGCGGCATTGTTTCGCCTCCGATTCCTTCGCTTGTTGTACCTTCAGCTCAATGTGAGCTGCGGCGGCGGTTGGGACTAGAATCTCACCAGCGGGCGGTCGCCCAGGGCCACGGCTAACGGTGGCAGTCGTCGGAGTGGTACCTCCTCCACCACCTCCACCGCCTCCCCGGTTGCTTGTTGTTGTCACTGCCTGTTGATGTGCAAGTGTCAGGATTCCGTAGTAAACACAGCTATTCGTGACCTCAGAAGAAGGTGGGGTCTGCCTGAGTGTTTGCAGTGGCATTACCTGAAAAAGATTCGGATAAATGATTAGTTATTGGAATGCGGAATCAATTTTCATTTCACTCACCAATTTGGGTGTGTGCTCGGCATCGCTTCGAAGCAGAGTGCATAGATTGTTCAAGATCTTGCTATTTGGACTAGGGTTTCTATCACAGACCTGATCCATTAGGTGGACCAGGAACTCGGCAGACAGCTGCTGCAGCTGGAGGCACTGCTCCCGCTTTATGGACTCCATCAGTGGCTTCACCACCGGATTCAGCTTCTCGGGTAGGCAGTGTAGTGCGCAAATGGCGCCGGCGAGTGCCGCTTGTGCACTGACATGGTAAGCGCTCTGCTCACTGGTCGTCTGCTGGTAGGACGCTTGGAGACTGCGCCGCCGCTCCTCTAGCATGTCCAACAACTTTGGCTTGAGAGGATAGATACGCAGATTTTCGCTTAATGTGGTTGCCACCGCCTCGATCTGATCCAGGGTGAGGATCTTGGCGTTATTGAAGTCGTTGATAGGAATTTTGTTCTGCTTTAGCGTAGCAATAAAATCCTGGGCCTCTTGCAGCAGTCGGGTCAGAGAGATGGCCACCTCATCATAGTAGACGTACTCGTTTACACACTGGTGTAACTTTTCCTGCAGATTTGGCGGTCCCGGTCGCACTGGCTCATCTTCAAGAGCCCAAAAAGCAATAATCAGTCCACACACGATTCGCTGGACGGCGGAGTGGGCATTGAGGTGACCCAGCAAAACTTTCGTATAGCAGTCCGTGGGGCTTTCAGTTTGTGGGGTGTAAACCACTCCTGGTGCCGGTTGCACCAGGTAATGGGAGAGAGCTCCCAGCGCCCGCGACGAGGAAATGCGGGCTCGCATAAAGTTTGCCTCCCGCAACTCCAGTGGCGTGGCCTCGCTGCCACCCAGATATAACTTAAGAGTGGCATTGGAGTTCGCCAGGATGGCTCCGCCGAGATCGTCTCCTATGCGGGGCGTTCGTTTCCGCGAAGTGCTTCCTGCATTGCTCGAATCTCCACAAGCTCTGATCAACACTCCTGCATCGAAGGCGAGTCTAGGTGGCTGCATTGAAAGACAAATCCAGGAGGACACGTACGGACAGGCAGCGTGTAAGAGGGCACCCAAATCCGCATGCTGGATGAGATTGGACCACACCTGCCGAGCCAGAGCCTGGATATCCGCCTGCGGTTCGACCAGAATACGCTGATATATGTGACGCAGTGCCTGTTGCAACAATTGCCATTTCCAGTCACTGACTCCAAAGTTTAGCTTCATCTTTTGCTTATCCTGCTCTTCGTTAACCTGCTCCTCCTTCTCTTCGGGTTCCGACTTCATTTTATCCGCACTGGTCAGAGTGATCAGCGTTTTAAGCGTGGATCTCCGCACCGAACTGGTGCTGTGTGAAAGAAATGGCCAAAGTCGGGGCACCAGTATGGCCATTGGCTCCATCTCTACCCAAGTGGCGGCTTTTGGCAAGCATAAAATGGCCGCCAGAAGGCCCATGAAACTGTTGCAAGCAGATGTGAGTTCATCCTGATCCAAGAGCAAATCCCATAACATCTTTACGATGGATGAGACTTGCGGGGCATTCAAAAGCTTAGGAAGCCAGGAGGAAACTGGAATCAGTGTGGCTGCAGCCACAGCGCCAACATCGTCCACAACGTCCAGCAGACCAATGAGGATGTTTGAAATAGACTGCGGCAAATAAATCGGCAGCAGCTCCTCGCGCACAACAAAAACATACTTCAGGCCGAGTAGACCACCATGCCGCACCTCCCACTCGTTCTTGTGCTGGATAAGCTGAAGCAAGATATCCACGATCCGTTGAACCTTGGACGCATTTATCTCCTTTACCAGCGTTCCCAACACCTGGGCACATGTTTCCCGCACCGGCGCCACCACCTGATCCGAGACAAAATCGCCGAATCTATCCAGGCAAAGCACACAGAGAAGGCGAAGGGCGGCATCCTCCAGCCAACGACTGTGCGCTTCGTCCATCTGTTCGCGAGTCTGTTGCACAGCCTTTCCCGCTCCTTGGGCATGCTGGTTGATCAACTCCCGTAGAGCTGTGGCCGCACCATGGCGAACCTCCCATTTGGCATGAAAGAGATCGATGAAAAGGCGCGAGCAGAAGTTCTCCAACGGCCAGGAGACGGCATCCACCCAAGTGCCTGTAGCATCTGGAACGGCAGCTGTAAATAAGAAAGTACAAAATTAATATCTATTATATTATTATTATATTATAATATAATATTTAAAAACAAAGGTTGTAATGTCTTATATTTTTATAAGGTCAAAAGTCTTTAATGAGTTTAACATTCAGGGCTAAGTTATGATAAAAGATTGTCTCAAATGTAGTTTAATTTTTCTGCCCACTCACCATTAAGACTGTAAAAGATTTCCTGTCGCTCCGTTGACTTGAGCTTCTTCTTCTCCGGCTCATCCAATGCAACAATCGACATGGTGCCATTGTTGCTGTGGTTACTCCCTGTACTGTGGTTACTGTTCGAGTTGCGCCTGCTGCATGTGGGCGTGACCACGGTGGCAGACACGCCTGTGTTTTGGCGGGCCTTGCGCTTAGCCCGGTTCATTTCACGACAGCTTAGCTGAGCCTGCCCAGAACCGTTAGCCGTTGGCTTAATGTTGAGTAAGTGCTCCACAGGGAGCTTCTCGGCGTTGACGTTATAGCTGCTACCACTCCTAGTGAGCGCCATGTCCTCGTCTGTGATCATATCGGTAAGATTAACGCCCAGCTTGGCAGCCGTGGTCAGACCCAGTTTGTCGTTAAGCACCGCCCGCTGTCGACTCAGGCGACTGGCCAGACTCCGCTCCTCCTCTCCACCACCGCTGGCCGCTTGCTCGTCCTGCACATCGAACTCATTGCCCTCGGAGCCGATGAGACGGGCGCCTTTGTGAAGGATTTGCTGCAGATCGAACTCATCGAAGCTTAGCAGTCGCTCGCTGGCCGTTGTCGAGCTGGAACCACTTGACTGGCAGCTGTCTTCCTCGGCTGCAGCTGCCGCTGCCGCTGGGTTGGCATCACTGCCGGAGCGCTCCTTCTTGGGCAAAACCTGTAGTTCCGGATTCCACGGCGGCACTTGCTTGAGTATGGCCTCCACAGTCTGAGCCGCTGCTATGCGCGTCTCCCAGGACGAACTGTGCAGATAGCCAACCAGGCGGTTGAGCAGCGCGTGTAACTCGTGTGGATATAGCTTCTGGACCTCACCGATCTGCTTGGCCGCCGCATGGCGAGTGGCCGCTGTAGAGCCGGTCTCGAGTAGGATGAACAGTCGGTCGAGTCTGCAAATGTTTTTATATTATGTAAGTAAATTATATTATACACTTATTCGTAATGCATTACATACCTTGATGTCATTATACAATGATAATTTGTGATACGCTTTGTAATCCGTCGATCCAAAAGATCGGATCTACTCTAAGTAACTAATCTAAAAATAAAAAGGAGATCTTGTTAATTAAGTTTTTGGTCAATTAAATAGTTGTTTACATCGATTAAATAGTTAAACCATCTAATTATCCGTTTAAGATAAAAGGATTTCATTCGTGATAACGACACTTAAATTAAGTTTAAAAAAGAAACATCATTACAGTGAAAATACTATGGCAACAGTGCAACCAATTTCCATTTAATAACCCTAATGTAACTAGGCTTTGTACAGTATTTCTTAATACTTTGGAATTCTATTTTAAAGAGGGTTAATTAAAGAAGTAATACTTATTTCTGTGAAGCCCAATATTGAGATTCTTCCCACTGTTATTAGTACATTTTAAAAGATATTAAGCAGTGACACACTGTATTGTAAAACGACCTCATAGCTCAGCCCGACGACTGGCGCAATCTCGAAATTCAGCCTTTCGCAGCGCACCCCAATCGACCAATAAACACTGGACACGTGGTCGCAAAAGGGCGAAGACATGGATACGATGGATTTCCTGGGGAACATTATTTAACACGGTAACCAAGTGGGTTTGGGCTGTGTAAATTGAGTCACTCAACGTGAATGCCGAATAATGACTTCGTTGTGGCCGCCGAGGCGTTCCTTACAGCTCAGAGAAGAACGTGACAATTGAGCAAATTACGGCATTTCCATATTCCGGACTACAAATGTACAACTGTATTACGTACAAATCGCAAAAGGAACACCTACGATCAATCCAAGGCAGGCCAAAGCCGGCTTTGCCGATATTTCAAAATGTCAAATACTTTTACTCTCGAGGCTTTCAATTTGTAGGTCTTTTATCAATGCAACGTGTTGTGGGAGATAAGAAATTTGTAAAATCACGGTTCACTGAACCAAGGTGAAATATTAAAAGTCAAGAATAAGTTTACGCTTAGAATGAGTAATAACGAAGCCCGATAATGTTTAACCATAAGTAATAAAGCCAATAAAACACACAAACTTACATATATATAAAAAACAAAGAAATAATTATTAACAACGACGTAAAAGTCATAATGAAATCGTTTGTATGGCATGTCGCATGAATTTATTCGACCAACCATAAAGTAAATTTATCGGCGACAAATCTGCTGTACTTCGATTTGTCAGCGACCTTGTCGAATCCACCCACCGAGGGAGGAGATGGGGTTGTCAGCGATACTGTGCAGGAAAACGCCCGGCCACCTAGGTAATTAAATTTCCATTAAATTAACATCGACAGAAGCAATCTCAATCATTGATTTTAACCAGTGTTTTGTGTTGCGCATTTATTCATACATTTCCACCATACGATAAGCCATGAATGTTTACGCTTTTTCATTATCACCAGCCTTAAAATGACTATTAGGTGAGCCCGAATGTGATTCGAATTTTTTGTGGCAAGTTCTGCGAGCTTTTTGTATTTATAGAACGTTGTATTTTGATTAAAACTGGCCTAACGGAAATGCTGGGTCATTTACCTACACTAAAGATAAGGCTAGACTATTTCGCGTGCCATATTGCTTGAACATCGAATTTTTATTTGTTGCAAATTTGTCAGGGTTTAATTTTATTAGAGTAGCTTTAAGCACTTTTATAAATATATTGGGGGTGGACTTGATAGGAATGTGACATATCCACCCCAGCAACAACAAGCTAGATTATCCATTAATCCGCATACTTATTCATAATGACTGTGATAACGACTATTTTTTAAAACCATAAAATAATGTTCCATTAAAAAATTTGCTTTGGGCAAACCCAAAATTATTTATAGTTAGTCCCACCATTTAATCTGTTTTCTAGGATTTGGGGTAAAATTGTGCAAATTGTGTTTAGCCGAAAGTAGAACATTTTAGCATTGATCGCAACATGTGTTTTTAAGCTGCGAAGAGTTCAATATTTGCACGGCATTTGGCTAATATTGAGACAGCTGTCGCTGCACATATCGCACAATGCAGCAGCGAGCCGTATCGAATTAATGGAGCTAAATGACAAACGATGAGGTTCTTAATTTGAGCAGCATTATCGCCCAGTCGAGTTCGGCAAGTAAACTTTGAATATTTAAATGTTCTTAAAAGAAACTGTGACAAATGTCGCAAATGTTGCGAACTGCGGGAAAATGGCAAATGCGAAAAAGCTGAAAAGGCCGAGCTCCGCCGTTTGAAACTAGTTCAGGTGCCCTACCCCAAGTTGTTGGTAGCGAAAGAGAGAGGGAAGCGGCGGCTGCAGTCGATTACGGCAGCGGACCATAAATAAACACAGGTGCTTGTACCGCCTGGCATTGTTGTACACAGAGAGCAACGAAGCTGACTTTGAAATTAAATAAGTATTTTATTTTTCATATTTTGAAGGAGTGTGGTTAAAATTCGATGAATTCTACATTTATCTACATAATATGTAAGCAGTATTTCAGAATAGTGAATTTAGTTTTTAATTACTTTGATTTAATTTCCTTTTTTAATTTTAAAATCATATTGCAGTGATGTTTTATTTGAAAATTTTATGAGATATATTTATTACTTTATCGTCACTTTTTTTCTCTGTGTACCGAACATACCCATTGTGGACGTGGACAACGCATGGAGGGATTATTGTTAAATGCCACCCACTGAAATTGGAAAAAGAGCCCGATGAATGAACAAATGGACGACACAAATAGCGGTCGCAAATTGAGCAATGAGCTGTGACTAAAAATACGCGCACTAGAACGGGCTGCCAAGAAGAGAGACAAAGAGCTAGTAATTGGCCAAGTTTTTGTTGTCTCGTCCAAGGATTTCCGCTGTTTTGCTGCGTTGGCGTTCGCTTCCCCCTCATTTTCCTCTCTCTCTCTCTCTGTCTCTCTCTTTCTTTCCTCTCTTATCACAACACAATGCCCCCTTGGCCCCACGCTCACACACACACGCAAGCGGAAGCGATAAGTGGGTGCCATAAAAATACTATTGCAATCGAGGATAAGACGTCCCTTCATCCATTCCCATTCCCGAATATTATATCACCCACCTTTGGCAATCGTTGCTTTCCTCCCTCTCTCTATCACGCTTACGCTCCCTTCGCGGTGCGGCAGCAGTCAGCTTTTGTGGGACGCCCACTCACAATTCAACTCATGCGCTCTGCATTTTCTAATTGATTTGTTTGCTCTAAAACTGTACAATCGATGCTGCGTTACTATGGCCGTGCCTGAGCACGGGGGGAGGGGCTGCTTTTGGCCAGCAGCGTCACAAATCAATCCCACTCACGCACCATTGATTTTACCACACACACTAGCACACGCGGCAGACACACGGAAGGGCACTCCGGCGCGTCGAAATACGTTAGAACGCGGCAATAGTCGTTGATGGGCGGGGGCAGTCAATGTTTTAACTTAACACTGGGCTTCACGCTGATGCAAACACACTCCGACCGCACAATATTCCTCAGATTTCGGTTCCCAGCAGCCATGTTAGCCCGTCGCGAGTCACATTTATAGTGTTGCTTGACTGTCACGGTGCATACGGTTTTTAGGCGGCGCGAGCGGGACGGCGATTGCGGTTGGAGCGAGAGGGCTATGGAGCCAGGGATGTGAAAAATGCATCAATATATCGATATCATATAATTTTGGTATTTTTTATAAAGCGATATTGTACCGATAAGATATTTATAAAAATTGGTTAGCCCTGGAAATAATAAATGGCCGTGTTCAGCACAACATGATAAATGAGTGATTTATAAAAAGATAACTCCTCATTTAGACATGTTAGATAAATGCATTTTTATGAATTTGAACTTCCGAATTTGGTCTAAAACACTTTTGCTAGTAGTGCTGGAAATGTCCGGAAACTAGCCAAAAAATTACATAAATATTCAAATATTTTCTGCAAATTTTGAAAAAGCGACCAAGGCTCTACTTAATTCAAACTAAGCCCATCTCTTATGCTGACCCATGTAAATAAGCGGAGAGTGGATTTCATCTCACCACATAACTTTAATACATACATAATCAATTGTCTAAAAGCTTTTGACTAGTCAATAGAAGACGCTTTGTGTATTGTGTGTTGTTGTTAGATACATTGTTAGATAAAAACATTTTTATATTAAATAGGACGAACAATTCTTTAAAATATTAGCTTGTGATTTCGTTAAGAAATCTCCACAAACCACCTTAAAACGAATTTGTTTGGCCTCTTGGTTTGAAAAGAGTTGGATTTGATCTCTTTAGCACACCGCAAAACCAATTCAATATTTTATTCAGAAATCTTTACCAATCGACTTTTAAATTCATTTTTTTGGACTTTCGGTTGGTATTGGGTAGCGCACCTCCAAAAAATACAATTCTTAACGAAATACCGAAAAAAAATAACTCGTGATTTCTAAGAGCCCTTTGGTATATTTAGAAGTGAGGTCACACTGGTGTAATCGATAGTTTCGTGCGGTCACACTTTAATCAGCCCAGCGTTTATTGGCTTTTTTGGCGTGGAAAACTGCGAATATAATTGACAAAAAGCCCACAAAAGTGCCGCACAATGAACTCCCTGGGTCCTAAGAAGGACGGAAGTCCGAATATAGACTTTTTCCAGTCCCCGGAGACACTGCAGGGCTTCGAATCGATTCGCCAGTGGCTGCAGAAGAACTGCAAGAAGGTGGGTACCAACAACAACGCCGCCGCAAACAAAAATGGCGCTTGCTGACGGCGAAAAAAACACGGTGTAACGAAAAACTATTTCTTGCAGTATTTGGCCCACAGCTCAGAGCCCATCACGAAGGAGTCCTTATCGCAACTTTTAGTCCATTTCCTGCAATATGTGGAGGCCAAGCTCGGCAAGAATTCAGCGGAGCCGCCGGCGACCAGAATTCCGGTTAGTATTGCTGAGCCTGTGTGCGCGGTACAGGGTGCTCTATGTTTACATGTGTACACGTAAATATTAACCCTCTCGTGGCCAAAGGGCTTAATTTGTGACTTACTATAAAAATAGTTCTTAAAAGTAAAGTAAATTGTACCCTTGATCTCCGCTCCAGATGCGATGCTTCCTCGACTTCAAGAGCGGTGGCGGCCTGTGTATCATCTTCTCGACTATGTTCCGCTTTCGTGCCGAGCAGCGCGGCAAGAAGTTTGACTTCTCCATTGGCAAGAATCCTACGCGGAAAGACCCAAACATCCAGCTGTTGATCGAAATCGAGCAGGCGCTGGTGGAGGCGGACCTCTACCGAATTCCTTATATTTACATCAGGCCGGAGATCGAGAAGGGCTTTGAGGGACGACTGCGCGAGATTCTAGACAACAGGAGGGTGGAGATCGTTTCGGACGAGGAGGATGCTACCCACATCGTCTACCCCATCGTGGATCCGCATCCCGACGAGTACGCCCGTCCCATTTTTAAGCGCGGAGGCCATGTAATGCTGCACTGGTATTACTTTCCGGAGTCCTATGATTCTTGGGCTGTGAACAACTTCGACCTTCCGGATCACATTCCGGAGAATCCCGAGTCGCCGGCGGAGCGCTGGAGGGTGTCTGCCTCCTGGATCTTAGACCTGGAGCAGTACAACGAGTGGATGGCAGAGGAAGACTACGAGGTGGATGAGCAAGGAAAAAAAAAGACGCACAAGCAGCGTATGTCCATCGACGATATAATGTCCTTTGGGGACGAGAAGAAGAAGCCCGCTACCAGCTCAGGTGGGGGCAAGACGAAGCGTCGCCGCTCGCCATCGCCAGCTACCTCTGCGTCCACCTCCAAGCCGGGTAAGCGTAAGCGATCGCCCGCCGTGGTGCACAAAAAGTCGCGCAACGACGACGACGATGAGGATCTGACCCGCGATCTGGACGACCCACCGGCCGAGCCGAACGTCCAAGAGGTGCATAAGGCCAACGCCGCTCTGCAGTCGACCGCCAGTCCAGCTCCGGGCGGCAAATCCAGAGGCGACAACGACATGATGCCTATTAAGGGTAAGTGGAGCTCATGTGGAGCTACCTAGATTTGAAACACAAACTGATATCTCGCCTTATAGGTGGCACTATGACCGATCTGGACGACGAAATGACTGGAGGAAGCGCTGCTCAAGCCATGTCCACCGGCGATGGCGACAACTCTCAGACGGGCAAGACAAGTGATAACAGCAACACGCAGGAGTTCTCTTCGTCAGTCAAAGAGGACATGGAGGATAATGTGACCGAGCAAACGCACCACATTATTGTGCCCTCATACTCTGCCTGGTTCGATTACAACTCTATCCACGTGATCGAGAAGCGGGCCATGCCAGAGTTTTTCAACAGCAAGAACAAGTCTAAGACACCGGAAATCTACATGGCGTACAGAAACTTTATGATAGATACTTACAGGTGAGTTAAATATATATTTTTTGTGAATACCTTCATTAATTTTTCTCAACTGTTACAGGCTCAATCCAACCGAGTATTTAACTAGTACTGCCTGCAGACGGAATCTGGCTGGAGACGTGTGTGCCATTATGCGAGTGCACGCGTTTTTGGAGCAATGGGGCCTGATTAACTACCAGATCGACGCTGATCTACGACCAACGCCTATGGGGCCGCCTCCTACTTCCCATTTCCACATCCTTTCGGACACACCGTCGGGCTTGCAGGCCATAAATCCACAAAAAACGCAGCAGCCGTCGGCGGCCAAGACGCTGTTGGACCTAGACAAGAAGCCACTGGGCAAGGACGGTGGCTTGGAGCTGAGCGATAAGGGTGGTCTGACTGGCATTAAGACAGAGGCTTTGGAAAACGGGGGCGGTGCCGGTGGATTGAGTTCTGGTGTGAGCCAATTTGGTCTAAAGTTGGATCAATACGCCAAAAAGCCAGCGGCCATGAGGAACCGCACTGCTGCCAGCATGGCTCGAGAGTGGACCGACCAGGAGACACTGCTTCTGCTCGAGGGCTTGGAGATGCACAAAGACGATTGGAACAAGGTCTGCGAGCACGTGGGCTCCCGTACCCAAGACGAGTGCATCTTGCACTTCCTGAGGCTTCCTATCGAGGACCCATATCTAGAGGATGATGGAGGTTTTCTAGGTCCCCTGGGCTGCCAACCGATTCCGTTTAGCAAGAGCGGCAATCCCATTATGTCCACCGTGGCATTCCTGGCATCTGTGGTCGATCCTCGCGTGGCTGCAGCTGCTGCTAAGGCTGCAATGGAGGAATTCGCAGCCATCAAGGTAACGTAAAGTGAAATAGCTAAATAGGGGTATAAAACAATATCAAATTGTTACGTTTAAGGATGAGGTGCCCGCGACTATAATGGACAACCACATGAAAAACGTGGAGAAGGCCTCTGCAGGCGGCAAATTTAATCCAAACTTCGGACTGGCCAACAGCGGAATTGCTGGAACTGGCAACGACAAGGAGGATGAGGAAGGCAAGGAGGGAGCCGCCTCTGCATCCGCTGGGGGTTCTGATGAGGAAATGAAGGATTTAAGCAAGAAAGACGGTAAGTCAAAATCAGAAGAAGTCGAAGTGGCTTGAATGGATATCTGTTAAAACTAGCGTTGAATATTAATATTAATATGTCTGAGTATTACCTCTGATATAGACAACTTGATTTAATATTATAAATTCAATCCTATTTTTATGTTAACCGATATTCAAAGTATATTTTTTATTGTTGATTTCGCATTTGTTTTGTTGAACTCTTTTGTTGCTTTCATTCAAAATTCGCCATGTGTTCTTCATTTGGCACTGTATTTGTATATTGTTTCGTTTTTGTGTTACGCCCAATCTACCAAACTCACATCAACACCACCACCAACCCAAATAACAAACAACAATCACAGACGATGCCAAGTCCAAAGACAAAACGAAATCGGATAAGACCAACACGAACACAGACTCGAGTTCTACATCATCATCAGCGACAGGCAACACCAACAACACCGACAAGAAACAAAAGGAGTCATCCGGCTCCTCGCCTACGGGCGACAAGTCAGCCATCAAGTCAGACAAATCAAACAAATCCTCACCCACAGACCCAGCATCTTCCGCCAGTGGAGGCGATGTGGACATCAAGACGGAGGACAGCAGTGGCGACGGCGAGACCAAGGACGGTAGCGAGGCCAAGGAAGGATCGGGATCAGCCTCAGGCACCGCGGGCAAGGATGGAACCTTTAGCGAAAACAACATGCAGACGGCGGCTGCGGCAGCTTTGGCATCGGCGGCCGTTAAGGCTAAACACTTGGCCGCCCTCGAGGAGCGCAAGATTAAGTCCCTAGTGGCGCTGCTCGTCGAGACACAGATGAAAAAGCTGGAGATCAAGCTTCGCCACTTCGAGGAGCTGGAAGCCACTATGGAGCGAGAACGCGAGGGCTTGGAGTACCAGCGTCAACAGCTGATCACAGAGCGCCAGCAATTCCATCTTGAGCAGCTGAAGGCGGCAGAGTTCCGTGCGCGCCAGCAGGCGCATCACCGCCTGCAGCAAGAACTACAGGGTCAGGCGGCAGCTGCAGGATCCATGATCCTCCAGCAGCAACAACAGCTGCCACAACAGCCGCAGCAGCAACAGCAAACCCTTCCCCCGCATCCCCACCTGCCGCAGCAACAGCAACTTCCTCCACATCCCCACCAGCTGCCACCTCAGTCCCAACCGCTGGCGGGTCCCACTGCCCAACATCAGCCGCTGCCACCGCACATAGTCGGATCCGTAGCTACGCCTCCCATGGCGCTCGGCGGTGGACCACAGCCCGGAGGTCCCACGGCCATGATCACAAACCCCAGCGATCAGGGCGGACCAGCAGCAGCAGGAGCATCACTATCTCAGGCACCCACACCCATGGGTAAGAAGAAAACCTTTAGATCAAAATTTAATAAGCCTGGAATAAACTTTTCTTACATCTTTTGTAGATACCACACCGCCGAGCAGCGTTCCAGTGGCAGATGGCAGCGGCGCACCACCGGGATCAGCAATGCCCCCATCCGCCAGCATTCCTCCAGCGAGCACTGCTCCTGTCGCCGGTGGTGCTCCACCTTCTTAACTCCTACTTTTAGGCCAGAAAACTTTAAAGTAACTAGCTCTAAGTTGTACGCTCTCAGTATGTAATATGTATACTCCACTCTAAGCCCAACTCTTTGTGTAATTTGAGGAGATGGACTACATCTTGACGCATGTCCCGTTTCGTGTCCGTTCCCGTGAACAAGCAATTGCACAAACAATTTGAATCAAGTTTCAAAGCCGTAAAAATGGCATTCAATAAAATCTATTTAAATAAACTAAATACGAAAGTTATAATAATTCTTCATACACCCATAAAAAAAAGGCATTAAAGCGGTTAATCTGAATATAATTATAATACGATTACCGAACATTCGATTTTATTAATAGTTGAGTTCAAAGGAGCAGTCGGTTCATTTACAATGAGTTCAGTGAGAAGCAGTAAGAAATCCTAATGTATTTCCTAGAGTAGCTGCGTAAAATGTAGCCAAGTGTTAATACATTCTTCGGATCCCTCATAGATCACTCAAAGCAGGTGCGACGCCGCAAGATGTTGGGTCGCTTGACCTCTCTTAGATCGCCGCTGGAAGAAGCACGCTTCAGGCTGGGATTGTTCGAGGTTGGCAGTGGGGATAAGGCTGGAGATTGCGGCGGAAGACTAGAGCAGGATCCACTTTGACAAATCTTTGGCGGGGGTGGCGAAGATATGCTTATGTTTGCTAGCATGTGCCGTTCATTTGTTGATGTCTCCTGCAGAATGCCCATATTCAGTGAGTTGCGGGATTGTTCGCAGTCCAGATGCCGTCCATAATGACCCATACTCCTCACGTACACACTGTTGTAGAATCGGATGATATCCGCGCATTGGCCATTGCCCAGGCTGACCTCTCGGTAAACGCTCCTTTGGGCGTGTGGCTGCCGGCGATAGTGCTGGATAATCATGCTAAATGTTAGGCGAAGCTTCTCGAGCCGAACGTGTAGATGAATGGCACACAGTAGCAGCTGATCCATTTGGCGGTTACGCAGCAGCCGGCCGCCTTCCATGGTGAAGGAGTGTTCGGCCAAGTGCCAGATTCGCGGAAAGGAGTCCACCAGGCTAAGGCTCTGACAGAGAAGCAGGAGTCGCCTGTTGGCCAAGCCATAGAACTTGCGCATGCAGATGCCCGCTCCCGGGGAGGTGTTCTCCTTGCCATCTGCCTCCGACTGGACTTCCTGATATCCGGGCATTCTTTTCCCTAAGTTCCACCATAGCTGCGAGCTCTTGCGAAAGATCAGGGATTCAAGGCACTTGTCCTCCACCAGATGAAGGTGCTTAACCAGGTCTCTGCCCAAGAAACCCTGATCATGCCGCACCACCAGCTCCAGTATCTTTTGGAAGTCATAGGCATCAAGCGAGAAGCTGTCTATTATAAAGGGAAACTTCAAGCCATCCACTTGTTCATCGTAGACGTGGAGAGCCAGTTCTAAACAACAGGCTAATAGGGTCGTGGTTAACGTGCGCTGTCTTAATAGGTGACTAATTTTTAGCTGGGGTTTCAACGCCAGCTCCGGGGCCACAATCTTCAGCAGAAATTTATAGTAAAGACCGCTGGCCAGCCGGAAACGTTCTTCGGCCGCCTGGACATCCAAAAAATCCTTGGCGGCAGCGGAAAAGGTTTGATTCATTTTTTGCACAGTCTGCTCTACATATTTCACAACCTTTTCCCCATGTTCTCCCTTCTGCAAAGCTTTTATTATAATGGCAGGAAGGCTTTGTGGCAGATCCTGGGCCAGCAGCTTTTTGTGGGAAGGTGAGGAGGTATTGGATTGGTAAGCTGGCAGCGAGCTATTATGGAAATTCTTTCTTCGCTCATTCGCTTCATTAAAGCATAGCAGCACCCGCTCGTCCATCTCGTTGATGTCGGCTACATGGCTGGAGTATTTTCGATTTAGGGTGCCCAGATTTATGTCTAGCATTCCCTCCTTGATGATCTCCCGCATGTGGGTGTCATCACCTACCAGAGTCTGCTCCATGAACAGCAACATAAGGGCCTTGTGGAAAAAGGCATTCTTCATCTGCTGCACCCCCTTCACTGGAAGCTCAGGGATCAATGCTCCCACTGCATCTAAAGCGCTATATTTGTTCAGAAACGAAGCTTCGAACTCCTTAGTTTCCCACTTCTTGGGTACTCCCGCAAAGTCCCTGCGGATTACTTCGGATAGCGGCACCTCCAGGGCATTCACGAATAGCAGGTCCATGCTGCAGACAAGCACTTGACAGCCGTTGACCAGATTGGAGGTGGCAAAGCCGGGCAACTCGTTGCGGATGACCAGGAAAAGCAGCCAGCCAAATTCGTAGAGCGAATGAAAGTGGGCCAGGGAATCCGGATTGGCATCCTCTGCGGGTCGCACAAACAAACTCTTAAAGATGTTATTATAGTGTCGCAACAAGGTCAAAGTGATGCCCAGCCGGCGTCGCAGATCCTCCACCTCCAGTTCAAATGTCTTTTCGTTCTGGGCCAGCCAGTTCCAATGCTCCATGCGGCGCAGGAACTGCGACACGTTTACCTTGAAGCCGCGCAGCAGTCGGGTTAGTGACAGGTTCCAGCAGTTGTTCTTGCCAAGTGGTTCGTTCGCATCGTTGGTGCCGTTTTGGGATTCCTGGCGGATGTCTTTTATCTTTACCCGCTGTAATTCGCTGTAGACGGCGCAACATAGCCACTCCTGGACCTCGCCCTCGTTGGAGGACAGTCCGCCCGCGGCATCGAAACGTCGGTAGCTAGCCAGAGCGCTCTGCTGTATCCGTGGATCCAGCTCCAACTGCTCGCAGCTGGCGGAGAAGCGCCTCACCAGCGCATCCGCCTCTCCCTCCCCATCACAGTTGTTCATTGTGCGAGAATTGTATATGTTTACTTCTCTGTTTTCTTTTGTTTGTTTATATTTCAGCGGAGTTTATGCGAATCCCGGATTTGACTGTACAAATGCAAAATTTACGAAAGGCGCGAATGATTTCGATTGCTGCATAGTTCTCCGGCATTGTTATCGAAATCCATCCCTAGCTCAGAAATGCCTTCGCCATAAATAATCGATGGGGCCCGATATGTGCTGCTTAGCCCATTGCTGCTCACTTCATTTTATTAAACTATATTTTAATGGTATGTTATGATAAAATTATCATTAATATTTACTAACATTTTAAAGTTAGTTATTACTTATACCTTAGTAATAATTAAAGATTTTCTGAGGACAGTGCAAAGTTTTATTTATTTTAATTATGGTTTAGAAAAAAAAAATCTCATTTTAATTAACATTATAATCGTTTCAGAAAAACATTAAAATTTGTAGTTAACAACTTAAAATAAAAAAAGGTAATTCAATTTTGGATTTTACTCCCTTAATTAAAGCGAAAACTCTGTTTCACATCCATCGACCATCAAAGTGTTAACATTTTGTTTTTAAAAATGCTGCAAACAAATCGTGTTCTTCAAAAAGAGCAAACTGAACTATATGCCATCCAAAAGAAGTTGGAGCAAGTGCTACCCGTCATCCAGGAGGCATTAAACTCATTAAAGGTAGTCACGTTTACCCTATTCTGTTACATTTATTACAAATGAATGTTCCACAGGTGGATGAACTGCATCTTAAGACGCAGGTGTTGGGTTTGCAGAACACGCCAATGGAATGGACTCCTGCCATAGATCCCCTGCAATTAGACCTCACTGAACAGTCTCAGATCCCATCTGTAATGGAGTCTGAGCACATCAACAGCCAGAAGATAGATCTTGGCATGTTAAGCCAATTAAGGCAGTACGACGAGGAAATCGACTCGGACTAAAACGTTTATTATAGGCAGCATCTTGGCTAGAACATCACCAGACCACGTACATTTAGGGAACTTAAATAATAAATACAGTACAGTATATTCGGTTAAAATATCCATATCTTGGGTGGTGGGGCAAACTAAACTACTAAAGCTATGCGCTACGGAACCGGAACTGGTCATATAATTATTCCTGGTCGTCGGATGACTCTGCTGAACTGTCGGCTCGCTTTTTCTTCTTCTGGGGCGCTCCCTGCTTTTGATCCTCGCTGCTGTCGCTGTCGGAGGAGGAATCACTGCCACTAGAACCCAAGGAGCTGCCCTCGTCGTCGTCGGAGTCTGAACTAGAGCTGCTTGAATCCGAACCGGATGACGAGTCCGATTCGCTGCTGCTGTCCGAGCTGTCTGACGAGCTGGATGAAGAGGACGAGGAGCTCTTGCTGGGCTTTCGTTTGCGCCGGACCTTTTTTGAGCCCACGGAGGCCTCCTCTAGGTGCTCCTCTACCGTTTTTTTGGGCGCTTCCGCCTCCTTTTGGGCCAAATGCTTGCTCAACTGCTTGGTGCGCGAGCTGCGGTGCACGAATTTGCGCTTTTCCTTGCACTCGTAGCTCCAGTGGCCTATTTGCAGGCACTTTTGACAGCGGATGCCATTGGGAAAGTCGGCTGCCTGTTTCGCTGACCTGTGGGCCGAGAATAAAGCAAGGTTATCACAAGAAGCCGGCTAGGACCCTCCATAAACGTTGTCACCTCTTCTTCTGCGCCAGTTTGCGGGCTGCAAGTCCCACCAAGGTCATCCTGAAGCACTCGCGCAGTCGGTGTTGGGAGGAAATCTTGATGTGGGTGGAAACCAACGTGGCCGGGTGGAAAAGCTGGGAAAAATGAGTATCAAAAATGTTTTTTATAATTTTTTTCGTCACATTAGTGATGGACAATTGACAAAATGGTGCCCCGCCAATCGAATGCTAAGGCACCCCTAATCGTTATCGCTTATCGACACCTAGCAGCTGCTTGCTCAATTTTTGTCTACCTGGTTGTTGTTTCAATGTGTGAATTTTTGACTTAATTAAGCCTACATCGCCCGGCAATTATGCACGGTGCTGAAAAAAATAAAAAATAGACACCAGCTGATCATTATTTTACCGTAAATTGGCTGCATATATTGCCTAGAAAAACAATAACAAATCACGGTGCTGACTAAGCGGCGAAAGTGGTTGCAGCAAAGTCCAATCACTATCACTCGGTAAGGGTCGCTGCAGGCTAATTGCTAGTCACTAATCAAAGGTTCCTACAGCCGCAACCCATTCCGATGGACACCAGTTCCGTGGTTCCCCTGGTGGCCGGGCGCCCCATGCCGCCCGAGGAGCTGGCGATGCAGCAGCTTACCAAACAATTGTTCAAGTCCCGGCTCTTCCGTGGTCACTACCTGGAGCGTTGCTTCGTGGAGCAGGTGGGCGGCTACCGGGACGTGGTGGTGCTGCAGCGCAGTGAGCGGGAGCTGGAAAAGCTGCTGCACTCAAGCGGCGGCCAGCTGCACAGGTTCTACCAGCGCTTCGTACCCAATATGTGGGTGGGCATCACAAGTGGTAGTTGTGGAAGCTACAAGCACACCCCAGATCCGGGACAACTAGAGACCTGCATTTGGACGGAGATGAGCGACCTGGCTTTTGGAGAATACTGGTTCAGTATTAGGTCACTGCGCTTTAGGGACCAGGAGGTCCAGCTGAAGTTGAAGATGGTGCGGCGCGTGGAGCCGGAGCCATTAATGACACCGCGGAGATCTGTGTCCCTGAATAGGAGTAAACCCACCAATGCGATCACAGCGGGGGAAGGCTCCTCCAAGGCAGACGAGGTGACGGAGCAACTTCAGCTGGGTCTCAATGACTTCCTGGCTGTGCTGCAGCAGTGGGGCGAAGGAGTCAAACAGACAGTGTACGATTTTATGGCCAACGATGTTAACAAGAGGAACATAATGGGCACCATACGGTTTCTGGGCCTGCTCATCTTCTCTGCTCTGTCCGGAGCAGCGCTGGCCTTACGATTTCTCGGCATATTTGCTGTGCGCTTTCTGTTCGAGTTGAGTCGCTTCACCCACACCGCCACTCCCATTGTGTTTAAACTGATTGAGTTTTTGAACAAGATTGTAGGGGCTTTCTTCATACTCTTGGCCATGATATGGAAAGACATTGTACATCGTGGCCGCCCGGTTCCGGTGCAGCAGCTGGAAGCGAGCAGCCGCTTTAAGAGTATACAATACGAACGTTCCGAGCCGCACCGTCGGAGTCCGCGCTGGTGACCCGCAGCCAGGGGCAAATGTGTCTAGAAAAATGTGTGTAATTAGTCCAGGGTGGAAGGGCAACGATAAATCATTAAAATTGTGTTACTAGCCGTAAGCGAATCAAAGTCGATCCCTATCCCCGCTTCGAATTTGAATGTATTTGCTCCGCAAATATGGGGGCACCTATGAGATTTCCAGATTTTAGCCAAATGCAATATTGTAAATTTTTGATTGACCTGCCACTGGCAAACAATAGCATGCTTATTAACACCCGCTGTTAATTCATTGTGTATTGTCAAAAAATTTGTTTTGTCTAATCCTTTTAGTTTTAGGTCCTGTAATTTATGTATCGAAAATTATTGTGAATAAATTGAATGCAATAGCGAAAATTGAAATAAAAGAGTTGTGTTTTTTCGTTAGTTTTAATAGTTATACACTTTCCCTTTATTACTTTAGTTGATTTTAATCTCGTTAAATTGTTCTCATATATATTTATTATGTATATACTCGTATGTGATCATGCTGCTGTCTTCGGTTTGTCATCGAACTTTACACAAAATGTATTGTTTATTTTCCGTTTGCTGTGCTTAGTTTTCAGGGTGCTCTCGTCAGAGAAACTCCACGTTCTGCGCTTGGTTTTACATTGGAGTGGAAAATGTTCTATGGCATTTCAAGGAGTGTCTCTGCTTTCTGCTGACTATTTTTGCATTCGGAGGGTGCTAAGGGGCATCCTCATGTGTCTAAATATTATCAATCATTAAACAACTAAATTATAGTTTTGGTTTTCCGTTTCGGGGGTGATATACTTTAATTAGTACATATACATATATTTTATTTCATTTTGCAATGTTATATTAATGGAATGCTGCCCAACAAACTTTGCTCATAAACATTAATTTAATTGTTTTTCGTTCTGTTCGGTTTAATAATAAACTGTTTGCAGACAATAAAAAATATGTTAGAGAGATTCAATGCAGGGACTTGATATATTTTTCGGGAATCGGTTAGGATCGGGTCTGGGGTTTGGGTTAATCTGCCTTGTAAAATACATATGTTGTCAACATCTTTACATTATTTATCATTAATTGTTAATATTTATTGTTATTATTAGTTCGGTTTATGCACTAATTTGCTTGTCATTGTGTCGCCAACATGTTTAAAAACGCACAAAGTAAATATAAATTTTAAAATTTCTTTAGTTTATCATATTCCATGCCGTTTTCGTGTAAATACATTTCATTTGTTTAAAAGTAAATGTACAATATACAGTTTAATGTCATAACGTTTACTTTTTCCATTTCATCCGCTTGATTTTAATATATTTCGTCACTGCTAACAAATAATTACACATTCATAGCATTCTCATATAACGTTTTGTCTGCAGAAAATAATTTGATTTTTGGTTTTATTAACAATTAGTTAGACATTTAGAGCAAAAACATTGATAATATAGAATTTGTTTTGTTTTTAGTTTATGCATAAAAATTTGTCTAGTGAAATATATAAATATATATGTGTATATATTTGTTTCAAAGGTTTTGAACTGCTTATTGTTTATAATTGCATTTACTTTTCATTTGTTATTTGTAATTTGTTAATTGCGATTTTAGTTCTTGATCTTTCAAGTCCAATTCAGAATATTATTGTTTTGGCATTTTCTTTTTAGTTTCGTTCAAGGAAGTTTCGTGTCTCGTTAGTGGAACAGCAAGGTGAGAGTTGTATAGAAAAAATCCTAAAGAATTTTAATTCGAACTAAAAATGTTCGGAAAAGAAAACTTGTTGGCGCGCCTTAAATTGAGCTAAACAATTGTATTTTATTTATATGCATTGTTATTTATTTCTCAACGTGTTGTTTAAGCATCAATCAATGATAATTTATTCAATGTTTAATATTTTTGTTTGACTATAAACTATTTGAGGGAGAAATAATACTCTTGAATGTTATTTTCTTGCTCTCAACTAATGAATTACTAAGTTTTATTTTGCTTGTATTTCAATTGCAAGTTTCTAAAGAAAAGAGCAGTATTGAGGATTTTTCAACTCAAATTTTCAACTTTTATTTTGGGTCTCTCGTATCTTTACATATTTTATATCTATATTTTTATTATAATAATTTTTACACATTAAATTCAAATGCATTAATTTATCTGTATATATATATATGTGTATATATATTTATATATAATTTATTTATAAATATAAATAACAAAATTTTCCCTTTGAAGCTTGTTTTATTTACTCAATTGTTAGTCACTATATTGAAATATGATCTGCATCTATAGCATTAGCTAGTTTCTCGTTTAGCCTGCATTCATAGTTTTGTGTCTATATATGTAAGTACTTATTGATAGGTTACTGACTGCCAGATTTCGGATTTCGTGTGCTGAACAATTGGCAAGTAATACCGACGACTCCCTCTACCGCTGCCACTCGGTGTGTCAACCAAATAAAAGATAATATAGTAGATACATTTGAATACCAGATAGGCTTGGGCTTGGTTGATTTCTTTAAAACGTTAAGGTTCAATAAAATCGTTTTCTTTTGCTTTAGTGTCTTATATCATGTCTGAAGGTAACTGAATAAAACGATTTGCTCTGGGGCCAATAATTGAGTGGGTGTGAAGGGGTAGTATCTTAACCAACTTTTCCAATAGGCCACCCCAAGGCAAGCCCCAAGGGATATGTCTGTGGACCACTGGCACTAGAAGAGCGCTGGGACTGCCTCGTCTCATGGATAGCCCAACATCGTGCGCTTTAGGCACTTCAAAGTTCTGTGGTTTCAAATATGTTTGTATTTTGATAGGTTTAACAATATTAGGGTAATCAATCAAGGAGGAAACAAGGTTAGAAAGGAATGGAAAGAAAGATAAAGTAAAGATTGTTATAAACTTAGAGCCAACTTAGAAGAAACTACGATATAAGCTCTTAATTACTTTAAATCATCGGTATCCTCAATTAAATCTGCGTACTCCTCCCAATCGTTGTTAGTCGAGCGTGTGCGCAAGTTTGATATTGTCGGTTCGTCCTCCTCCACCTCCGCCTCATCCTCGCCGGCCTTTCTGCCTTTTCTGCGTCCTCCGCCGCCGCCGCCAGTGCCGCCTTCGTCAACCACCTCGTAGTCCTTGAGTTCAGCTTCCAGATCCTTTTCCCATTGTTCCTCTGGCAAAAGACGGAGCAACAAACAAAATATCGATTAGAATTTGCGTGGCTTAGCAGCTCGGTAACGGATATCTGCTTATATAAGGATATAATAGGTTTAGCATACATGGTTTACACATATCGTATATAGGTATATAGGTTTAGTATCAAAGGTGTCTAGGCAAGCAATTGAATTGTGGTTAGGTGACCATCCCAAGCAAGTACATGGTTGTTCTCAGTTCAATCATCGCTTACGTTTACCTTCGGCTAGTCTCTGGGGATATAGCTAAGACATAGATTTTCACACACTGTAATACGTTTGGGTATGCGCACCGTGACTGAATAATAGCCGTCTACAAATAGTTGGAAATTTTCGTTTATTTTTTCACAAAGTCAATTAACAAAGTCGGATACCAATTTGATGGGTTATATTAGGGTTTGGTTGTACACCATATTCGATCTAGCAATAATTAACGGATAGCGTGCACCCAAAAGTTCCCCAATCCATGACTTGCTTGTAGTCCCGAAACACCAAAATGTGTTTGATACATTCTTGTTTCACACTTCGTCAATTAAACAAAAATGTTTACAACAAAAATCATATTTTGTGTGTATTTACAGCATTTACGCATAAAAAGCAAGCAAACTGAATATGTTAATAATATTTATTTACACACTTATTAATCGACGAAGCTTGTCAAATATAGGATATAAGCTGGCAAACAAAATGTTGGAATATCAATTAACTTAAAATGCCATGTAAAGATAGAGAGAAACAGGGGAAAGAAACTGAGTCATCGGCGGCTTCTTCGGGTTTTAACTTAATTTTTGCCAGAATTTCTATCGCTTTAACATTTTTCATTGATTTTGTGTGGTGAGTTGGTCAAAAAATACGTACGATTTTATTGGTTTGGAAAGTGAAGCCCGATTTAGTTTATATTTGTGCAGTATAAAAAGCATATCGATTTTGAAAGAAGCATCAATTTATTATAAAAGGTTTCTTTCTTCTTGGCCTCAACTGGTCTTTCACGCACATTAATGAAAACTAAAATGGAAATGCTAAACTAAAAAGAAAGCGTTGTTTGGTTAGGGCTACGAATCAATTTACACACACATACTAAAACATACACAACGATTATATAGACACAGACAGCAGCGTAGTAGGAAATGATTGAAATTGCAACTACTTTGAATTGTAGGATAATATTTATTTACAATATTGCTAAACAGAAACGGTATGCAATTGAAAACCAACATGGAAACGATAATTATCACAACTAAAACGTGTTGCAATTTGTTTATATTTTTCTTTTTGTTTTGCTTTTATTCAACCAACAATTTCTAACTTACCACACAAAATTTTGTTTCGGTTTTTGTCATTTTAGTAACATTTTTTGGTTTTTCTTTCTTCGGTTTATATAAATAATGCGTTTTCTGGGTTCAACTCAAATTTTCATTGTTGTCAAGTGAATATTTGTATAAGTATTTATATAATTTTGGTTTGTTGTAGTACTTTTTTTGTTTCGCTTAACAATTTCTTTTCTTTCTTGTGGGCAATTTTGTAGTATTTTTTTTTGTATAATTTTGTCTTGTTTATTTTGTTAGTTGTATTTTTTTTGCATTTTGAAATTTAGATTTAGCATTTTGTTTTGTCTTTTGGTTTTAATCCATTCAATCTTCTGCAAGATGATTCGTAAATAAATCAAGAAATACATGAAGAAAAATAAATGTAGTTGTTAAAAATGTTTTCCCATACAAATTCATCATCAAATATTCATGGTAAGATATTTTTTTGGAAAATTTTGTGTATTGCTAGGAGAGGAGATTCATTTTTGTGTCGCGGCCAGTTTAGAATATATTTTTTAGTTTAAACAATGTGGAGAAATGTGTAAACGTAAAAGGCAAAATGAGAATTGGATCGAAGGAAAGGAGATAACGAAAGTTACATCTAGCTAATTTTTGTAAATGAACTTGAATTGCAAATTTAATAAAAAGGAGCACGAAATTGCAAAGAGAGAGCGAAAGTTGTATCAATAGGATATATGTAGTATATAAGATTTTTTGATCGGTTTGGTCATACTCAACTTGTTCGAAATTTGGTTTGTGGCTTTAACTCTTTCTTTAATTGTTGTTAAATACTTGAAATCAAATTTTATGCCATATGATACATATATATATATATATTTTTTTTATTTGCTAAATGGCAAACGAAACTTTTGAGTCGAGTTCGATTTAATCCAGGATATATATTTATATGTGTTTATATAATTTATAATACTCTTGTTATCCATTAGTTGCTTTACTTCTATATTTATTATGTGATTTCGTTTATTGGTTTAATAGTACTTTCAATTGATAGATTCGCTTTAGTAATTAAATGCCAGAGCTTGAGTTGGTCGTCATATAATAAGTAAAAACGATTTTCATACAAAATGTAATTTACACAAAAGAAAGAAACAGAGCAGAGGAGAAAAAAGAGAATTGTTCGGTTTTTACACTTGATTTGTACACACATTTTTGTTTGTTTTAGACTGTTTGTTCTGTTTATTTTGTACAACAAAAATATATATTTTCATGTGTGGCTTTGTTTGCAAAATAGAATATGAGATGTTAGGAAAACAAAACACTCGACTCAGACAAGAGACATTTTTGTGTTTAAATGGCAATGAGTGTGTCTTGATAACTTCCTAAAATCTAGATGAAAACAGAGCTGAAGATCGCTGGCTAAGCAATATAACTAGCTACACGTATTATTTTCTTATGTCTTATGTGGCATGTGTATGAATGAATGTTATGTGTTTACCAGAACACCAATGAAATTCAGTTTGATCAATTTCATGGGACCAATGTATGTACAAATAATGTTAGTCTCAAACTAAAGTAACATATACTTAAGTAACCATAATAAGAAACTTAAAGGGAAGTGAAATAATAATAACTCTTACCATCAGTCGTGGCTAGTGCTAGTTGGGTCATGCTATCGATGCCCAATTTGCGCATGCCGTCTTGGATTTCAGCCAAGTCCGATTCACTCGAGGCCTGAAAGTCGTCCGAAACGAATTCCGATTCGGAGATCTTCTGACCCAGCTCTTTGCCGGCACCAGCTTTCGACTTGGCTGCCCCATTGGTCTCCTGGACCTTCGGCTCTATCACGGCCTTCGGCTGCTCGGCTATGGCTTTCAGACTTGAATCGCTCTTGGCTGCTTCGTCAGTCTTGGATTTGCTCACTTTACTGGCCACTTCGTTGGCTGATCGTTAAACACAGTTGAGTTTTCGAATGTATTTCGATAGTCATGTTCGTTTTCACAGTGTAATTTCGTGTTGGAATACATAATAATAATTTAAAGAAAAGAAAAAGTAAGTAATTAAACAACCAAAAAGAGGAAACGCAGTAAGTAAATCAATTTGAGGTGAGGCGCTGGCGACGTTCGTGGAGCGATTTTCAATTGATATTCGAGACGCGATTGAGATGAGCGTTGGGGAGTGAGGAGGAACCGAAAACCGGGACTCGAGTCCTCGACGACACAAGCCAGTGCAGGTGAAGGGACGGATACAAATCAAAGGGTTTAATTCAACACAAGACTTGAGCATACTCTTAGGCGGTGTTGTACAGACGCTAGCCAAGTTAGTTAGTTCGAGACTCGAGAGATAGTAGGTATACCATATATGTTTAAAGAGGTAGATAGAGAGAGCGAGAAAACGGAAAACTTTGGATAGCTAGCGTGTGTGAAAAGGACTAAGAATAAATGATAAGTTAAACAGGCGCGTGTGGCTAAGGTGAACCAAAAATGAAAGACTTAGACTTAGAGAAAGATAGTTACAGATACAGATACAGATAAAGGTATAGATAGATAGATAGATAGATAGATAGAGAGCGCGCGAGTAACGAGTGTGAGTGTTTGGTGAGCGAGACAGTCTGTTTATCCTGCATTTCTTTACATTATTCATTTTCCAGAGTTTTCGTTAAGGGGCGAGGAGCTACAACCGACTTACCATCTTCGCCGCTGGAGGCCTGGCCCACGCCATCGGCGCCCAGAGTGCCCAGCTCGGCGGCCTGGATGATCAGTGAGACGCGGTAGAAGTAATTCCGCCAGAAGTTCTCCTCAGTGATGCTGTGGGGAATATGTCAAATCTCTGGTCTCTGCCATTATCTCTACTATTACTCACATCTTGGGCACCAGCTCGAATCGCATCGTCTCGAGCGCCTTGTCCTCGGCCATAATGGCTATGGCCGTGGGATAGGCGGTGTCGTAGCTAAACTCAAAGTCCACGCCGGCGGGCGGGGCGCGCACGAAGTTGCGGCGATCCTGTGACAGGCCCAGGATCTCCTCCTTGATCTTGGCCTCGTTGGCGTGTCCGATCCAGGGGGCTGCCCCATTGCCGATGCCGCCCTGGCCCTTGATGAAGGCCTCCTGCTCCTTGTTGAACGAGTCGAGAATGGTCTGCAAATAGTCGGGTTTAAATACCTTTTCATTATCTTAAAGCTCTGGCATGTACTCACATTATCCTTGACTGTTTCCTTGATTTTGCTGCCCGCCTTGCTGATGGCCGATGACAAGAAGGACCCAAAGTGTTTGGCCTGCTGTGTTACTTTTGTGGTAACTGTCGAACAAATTCAGATCAGAAGGCATTAAGTTTAAGTCCACTTGCTGCAATCAACCCAAAAGGGGCTGCTACTGACTAAACTTAACTAGACTACAAAGCAAACGTTTCACTAGGGGACTGGGTGAGAGGGGAGCGGGATATCTGGGCTATTTTAAACTACTTGTAACTCGGGGTTAGTAACCTGTCACCGCTTTCTATCTCAGTCTTTTTGAATTGGCAATTCAAGTTGATATCGATTAGACATTTAGCACAATGTGTTTGAAGTTGTCTCTTGTAATTTGGTTACCAATCAAAGTGTGACACGTACTTTTGACTTCATCGCCCTTACCCTGTCCGATTTGACCCTCGTCGCCGGTGGGCGTGCCACCGCCCGATGCAGGATGCGAATCGGCGCCCTCCGTGGCGCTGCATTTACGCAATTATGGATGGAGCGGGTTGGAAATGGGGAAAGAAACGAGAGGGATACAAAAAGAGGATAAGTTTTATATTTAAATGAATTTCGTGTAATCATAAAGATATTGTGTAAAGCTCCAAGATTAATTCATGCAGCAGGCAGCAAAGCCAAAAAGACTTAATAAGTAAATAAAACGGTAGCTAAAATACAACAAATCGCTCGTAATAGAAAGTAAACATAAATTATACAATTTATACACCAACTAGTTATATTACCATGCAACAACACCCATTAAGCGTGCTGCATTTGATATAGAAAATTATATTCTATTTTCTGTTGCGTTCTGTCTCTCTTATCCAGCTATAAGGATCTAATGCAAAATAGTGTATGCTGTTTTAATTCCTTTTGAAAATATTTACTTTTATTTCTTTTTTTTGTCTTTAATAACACTTTTTATAATAAATGACTTAAATGGTCTTTGAAACTTTATAATCTTTTTAAAGATCTAATATATGTTTTTCTGTACTTATCCATACAAATATTGTATTTTTTACAACGCTTATGTATATTTACACGTATTCATGTTTTTGTATACAGCTATTCATTTTTATTGTATTTTTTCAGTTTGATTCGTGAATGCAGAATGGAATGACGGAAATTCATATGAATGTCAGGATGAACGATGCCAAAAACAGATACTACAAGGGGACAACTAAAAGTGAGAAAAACAAAGGTGATTACAAAAGAGGGAGCACACTGAGAAGTCATGCAAGGACTAATTAGCATCATGAATGAAAACTTTCTATTCATTTTCCATTTTCGGGAATTCGCCAGAGAAAGACAGACACATAGCGAGCGAAAGAAGGCGAAACTATTGGGCGGAAGGTAATTTTTAGCTGCTACTCGAAAAAACAAGGCCAGGAGAAATAAAAATAATGCATCGAAATGATACACAGAAGGAGAGCTACACAGCAACACAGCGAGATGGGCTTGGATTGGAGACAATTAAACGAAAGGACAATGATAATGGTACTGATAATGATCGGAATAATGACTATGATACACATCTACCAACAACAATTAGGGTTGAGCTTTGTTTGTCTTATCTACTGTACGTAGCCATAGGACTTGGTTCCAGATAGGTATGTGTGTTAAAATTCGGTTTCCTTGACCTGGTTCGATGGGCCGCTCAATAATGATGGAATCTGATACTTTGGGCAATTATCAAAGTTGAAAAATTAAGACTTAATAATTTTTTTTTTTGGTTTTGACGCGTTTAAGAAAATATCAAAATGAAATGGTTTAAAATAATAGAAAAGATGGGACTGCTAAATTTATGTTTTATGGTTTATGTGTTTTGTGTTAGAGAATTAGTGGCTAGACCGCGCCAAATGGAAATCGATCTTGATCATGAGCTGAATGAAATGAGTTATGGTAATTTCAGTTTTATAATTTTCTCTTTCAAAAATTGTGTCCATTTAAAAGGTTGGAATCATAGGAAACTTACCACATATAAAAAATACCTTCTAGACACTACATAACCATATAACTAAATACATTTTTAAATTCATTATTAACTTAACCAAAGTTAGAAATGTTTCCAAACTTTCGTAAAGGGACAAAATTTTTGTATTTTGATTTAGCCAATAACAGGTCGTTATTTTAAATTACTTAGTTTTATATACAAAAACGTGGAAACGATTTGTAAATGTTGTATTGTTTTAAAGATGGGGAAGATAGATAGGTTTGGAGATAAAGAGATTCATAGAGAGACAGAGATCGTAATTTGATTTGTACAAAAAGTTATTAAATATGTGAAAAAGTGAAATTTGAAACAGCACAAGATAAATCGTGTAGAATAAATAAATAGGTAAATATATAAATATATTGGTTAGGTGAAAATTCGCAACAATATCTCAACTAAATGTATGAAAGGGAAAAAGCTCCCTTTTGATGTGGAGTATATAGGCAAATCGTAAATAGTTATTATATAGTTCAAGGGAAACTTGTGTGTATATTGATTAGTATTTAAGTAAATTGTGTGGAAAAGGCTTCAACTGTTGGTTAGGCAAACTAATTGTAAATAAAACCAAAAAAAACTTAAGCCTCAGCTCTTTATTCCTTCGGTTCTTTCGAAGGACGAAAACTTTTCGGCAACGACTTCAAACAAAAGCCACTCGAAAAAGTTGAACCAAAGGCTAAAAACTTGGGATGGCTTAAACAGAGGTTAACCGAAAAGGAAAACAAGGAACTAAAGTAGAAACGCGCTTCTCATCTTCATTTCATAAATTTTTGGCTTTGGTTTGTTTTCAGCGGCTGCTTCGTATATAATTCCGTCATTGTCAAGCTGGCACCCATACCTAATATACCTCGACTTGTCGTCATCCTCGCCACCACTCACGGCTCCACTGGCGGCGGCCCCGCCCTCTCCGGCTGCAGCTCCCTCGGCGCCCTCTGCCCCCTCGGCTCCTCCGGCTTTGCGAAGTCCCGGAATCGATGGTATCGACGGCATCGCTGGCATTGCTGGCATCGATGGCATCGACGGCATGGCTGGCATCGACGGTATCGAGGCGTTTCCCAACCAACCCTTGGCACTGCCCAACCATCCGCTGAAAGAAATGAAGCAAGCAAAAAGGAGCATTAGTCGGGGGGTCCTTAGTCCTCGGCGATTGAGTGACTGACTGACAAAATGACAATCAATCTTTGCCCTAATTTGACAATATTCAATGCTTGCATGTGGGTGGCGCTGGATAAGGGCCTGATAAAAATCTATAATGTACTATGTCAAACAATAAGCAGGCGCCTCCACTTGCCAGTTGCTTGTGCTTATATAAGCTCGCATACAGGGTGAAAACTAATTGATTTCTTCTTGATATTTTATTTATTTTTCCGTTGCGCAACGGTTTTATTAAAAAAGGTTACAAATGTTTAGATTTTAGCTGTCTATTAATGGTCTTTAAAGTCTGAATGTTTTCCAAAGGCTCTTAAAGTATATTAAGTTATTTTATAATCAATTTTTAGGTTTATTGGAAATTTGTTTTGACTTGGTTTGTATAATCGCTTTGTTGAAGAATGTTTTTTAATATTTTATTTGAAAAGCTTTCCCATAAAGGCATTTTTTGCAAAAGTGACTGTCTTAAAGGAGCACCCTGTTTGAAATCATCATTCTGTTGCGTTGATAGTCCTGCTCGATTCATTGAACCATTTTCACACTGTCATAAATAATATCGCGCTGACAAGCCCATAGGATACGTGACAGCCCGACTATTTGTATGTGGGAGGCATTGTGACTAGAATGCCTTTTGAGATGGCTTTGCCATACACTTCGCTCTAGGCTGACACTGAGTCAATCACTAAAACAACACTGGGTTCAGCTGAAAACTGGGAAACTGAAGCAGAATTAATAGACAAACGCGATGTATGACTTTTGCCCCGTTTGCCTTGGCAGATTTCGTCGGCAGGTGAACACTCCGTGCAAGCACACATTCTGCAAGACTTGTCTTTGCAAGGTCTACAGACAGAGCCCCACCAAGTCGTGTCCCCTCTGCAGGGCGCCCTTAGAGTACTACATCGTAAGTCCATAACTATTGGCCCAGTAATCGGGAGCAGTCTAATAACAAGATATCTTTCTTGGACTACTTCATAGAGCAAGAGGAACAGCACTGTAAAACTCGTTTTCTTTTCCTAAAATCTAGAATCTACAAAAATGTTTAAATGTTTCTGTTCTGTTAGCTGTTTAAAAATTCGTATTACGTTGCTTTCATTAAACTATTTATAAGTTTGTGTTATTTGTTCTGTTAAATGAAAATTCATAGTCACTCTATAAATACCAGTCATCATCAACTTAGCAATAAGCCTGAAGGAATTTCTCGAATGGTAAGTTGAACCATAATAGTAATTCGTTGTTAAACCAATATTCTTCAAACAGGTAAAAATAACTTAATAGACCGTTTAAACTGAAATTGTCGAAACCCACTTTTAATAATAGGAATTCAAAAAACACTGGAATTGTGATAAAATAGCTTGACTTGGGCCTTCAGGGTCTTATTCAGCCAAGTACAACAATCGATTGGGGACTCGTCCTCGTCCTCTTCCCTTTTTTTTAGCCTTTCTCGTTCAGATATTCCATGCACATATTGCAATATTGAATGCTTGGCCTGCAGCGGTACAAGGAGAAGGGAATTGACGCGGAATGAGAAGAAGGACACGCCCCCTCTGAGCCTGCGATGTAGATGATGGTGGTGCACATATATCAAGCGCACATTCCCACACAAAAAAACGAGCTCAACTATATGGACAAAATAGAATAAAACTCACAGTGACAAGCAAAGGATTTCAATCGCTATGCGACTCGGGTAATGCGGCTTTACTTATATATCTTCAGATCCATATGCATTATGGTTCATTATGACAGAGCAAGGCTAGCAAACTACTGGACAGGCATTGCGCATACGCCGAGTTGTGCGAGTGCTCAACGATGCGAAATCAAAGCAGCTGGAAAAAAAATCGCTGCAGTAAATCGAATAAAACTTCGAAGGCACTAATTGTGGTGGAAAATTAAATTTTACACAACTGGGTCAAGAGATTAAAGAAGCATATGTCGAAGCATAGCCCCAGCATACGCCATGTTGTCCAGCCCAATTAGGAAACTCGATGGATATAGCGGAAAAGTTATTACGAATAAGTATACGGTCCGAGGATGACTATCGGCCTTGCACATGGAGCTTATCATTAACAATTGGCCAGCCTCCAAGTGAACCATTCCTCCATTTTCCCATCCTATTTCCCTGGGCTTTTCCTTTGTGATTTATGTCTTCGTCATTGGTTAAGGGAAAACAGAGGGGTTGAGGCTGGCTTTTACGCAGTTTTGCTGACCTGACAGCGGCGGCAACAGTTTCCGCTTTTATTTATGGCTCCATGGATTCCCATTTGGGCATTGCATAACTTAGTCCGAGCAAACCGATAAGTGGTTGGACATTCACTTGAGGGATGGCTTCTTAAAGTAGCTCATTCACAGTTCCTGCGGAATTACCTTAACCTCTCTCAAGTAGAAATCATAAATTTCCATCTACTTTCATTATGTGGTACGCATTCATATCGACTTTCTGTTGTTTTTAACCATTTTTTTCAGCTTTCAACTTTTTTGTCTTCCCGCCAGATTTTTGCCGTGAAAAGTTTTAATTATAAAAGTTCGGGCAAACGCAAACGCTGCGGCAAACACATAGAACAAGAAATACGACATGCCGCAATGCCAGACATCAGCAGAACCAAAGGAGTGAAGTGAATTTTGTACAGCGAAATCTGACCTCAATTCTCCAAACATCTTCATCATAAATCCGGAGGGAAAACAAGGCAGTAAAAACTAATTAATTGGCTTTACTGGCGCCGGAATCGATTTCATTCGTCTCCATAAAATAAATACTGAATACTTTTCCTTTTAATATTCAAATCACATTCTAAAGCATAAAATTCCGACAATAAAATGTGTTCAATTGCAGCGATTTGTTATAAAATAAAAAAGTTGAGATATTTATACAAAATGCTCGTCCTTTTCAAACACAAACATTTGTTAAATAATTGCTGCATATTTTCTTTTCTAGAGTTTTGTAGCATATCTCTCACAATTTTCCCTTTTCAACATTTCGTATTGCAACATTGTCATGGAGTCATGGTGTTGCACCCTTCGAAAAAGTGAATGACAAAACAACGACCAACGCACATGGCACTTATGTAAATTGCAGCCTGCCTGGGAAAAGCAAAGGGGGGGGATTGGGGATTGGGGAAAGCATGCAGCGGAGGGAGGGAAATGGCAACTGCAATTGCAACTGCAAATGGAGAAGTGCAAATGTGGCAAAAAGAGCAGGGAGCAAGAATGGGGAGGAGATGTGGGTGTTTTGTGTGCTTGCCACCAAGCTTGACACTTTTTGCCCCCACTCTGAAACCCCCTTGATCCCCAATGCTCTGATGCGAAAATTGCATTGTCAGCTTAGAATGGCGTCAACTGTTGCAGTTGCTCCATTTGTTCGTTTACTCTTTTCTGTCGCATTGGCCATTTTAATTGTTGTAGCCATTAATTGGAGTACGATGAAGTATACAATATTCCCCTTCCAATCGCCCTTCTAATTGGATTGAGATTTTGTTGGCGCCGAGCGGAGATTTATCCAGTTTCAAAGGGTCTAAGTCGGATCAAGACACGCAAAGGGCAGAGCTGAAGGGCCAATAACTAAAGACCATGGCAACGCCATCCGTTGTCATTCTAAGCCCTCCATCTTCCTGTCCCCATTCCCTTCATTTTTCTGCCACACAATGGGCCTGTATTTAAAGATAATGCTTATAGGAAATTTATTACATTTGCTTCACAACGAAAGCATAAGTAAAGTAAAGCTAAATGCGTGTATAAAGCAAAAATAAATGATACCCAGCTAAAGGCACCTGCTGAGCTTCCATTTCCCACCCCTCCCCCGTTGCTGCCAAAGAATCTTAGCCATCATCATTTTCATCAGTAAACCCCAACCGGGATGACTTGTTTTGTGGGGAGTTATGCCAGTAGTAAAGTAAGCTTTTACTTTAATATTACCATGGTAAGAAATAGTTCGGAACTGATCAAGAAATTTAATGTATGGGTCGGTAATACTTGACTAATTTTAATAAATTATAGAACCTTATTTAGAGGACATAATAAATATATATGGGTATGCAAATAATATGTTTACTTCTTGTTTACAAATAATTTGTAGGCAACAGATAATATTCAATAACTTCTCAAGCTACCCTCGCCTTTTAGCAAATGCCACACTCTGTCACTGGCGCAACAGCCAGCGAAGTAACGCCAAGAAAAAAATACACATTTGACAAATTACCAGCGAGCAGGTAAACAGAAGGCGGATAAGCCCGTCCATGAAAAGCGAGACAGGAAAACAGCCACAAGCAGGAAATTGGGAGCAGCAGGGATGTAGGATGCAGGATGCCCCGGGCAGACCATCTACATAATCATGGCCATGTGTAGCTATTAATAAAAGATGAACGCAACATTAAACGCCTGCATAAATGTGAGTCATCCATCCATCGACATGATTGCCATCCTCCTCCATTTTTTTTAACGATTTGGCCATGTGACATTTGACTTTTCATGCTTAGCAGATTTCTATTTTCATATCGCACTTTTTTTTCCAATTTTTCCATGTGTTTGCCTTTGTTTATTTACTTTGCGAGTTTTTTATTAGCTTTTATTTTCAATTAAAGTGAGCTGCACAAACATAAATATCTGGCGGAAAGTGTGCTATTAAATATTCATGAAAAACACTGTGGAGGGCAAAACAAGCTGAGGCAAAATGCCGAGCATAAATTATTCAAACTGATGAAAAAACTGGCCAACAGAGATTGAAACTCTTTGCGTCGTGAATTGGCCCAATCAACGAAATCGACCAGAACGGGAGATTGGTAATTCATTGACAAATCCATTTGCCCACAAAGGCGGCAAAAATAAATAATCTTAGAGCTGATTATAAAGTCTGACCTTTTTCTGGACCTGCCCCTAACTTGGTTTGTTTAACCCAAGCTTTGTTTAAGTACGATAATTACATGTATTTACACACAGGACTCGCGAAGGCAAGAAACAGTTTGGTAATTGCACGCCACCATAAACTTTAATAGTTGCCACCGTTTGGACATAATCATACTGGTATAATTAAGCGTCTCATCCACAATTCCCATGTCTAAACCACTTAATATGATTTCCTAACGGCTGTCGCAGCAACCGGGGCTTATGCATTAAAGGAAACGAGCACCTAAGCCATATCCATTTAACAGGACGACAGCGATAAGCTCGGAAATGCGACAAAGAAACATAATCATCAAAGCAAGTCGAGTACCATAAAAATATTACGACTAGGCTGCTTTAAAAAGGTGAGAGATTGAACACTTCAACAATTTAAGTAGAATTACGAGTTGGTTTTGCCCTACTCCCACAGACGTCTAACATAATGAAGATGAGCAAGGTTAATTAGACTAAGAGCTGGCGGAACCGTCTAAAAATAGGAAAACGGAAGGAAAAATACCGTTCTGCATGCAAGTGACAGGTGGACAGGCAGGTATGTATACCCAGCTCTTTGAAACCTTTTTCGTTACGGCTTCTGGGCTGGCAAGACATCTCGCATTTGCAGGAACACGCACACCTGCGGCGAATGCCAATTGTGGGCTCGCAGGATTCCATTTTGATGCCCACAACAAAGGCTATTGGATTTTGGATGATAGGTGGTGGTAAAGAGCGGAGTCCGGGATGGAAACCAATGAAAGGAATATACTAAACCTTATGCTTAATATACATATCAATGGACATTCTATTATTTGATTTTTTCCCTGCACTCTAATATTTTATGTATTTTGACAAACCGATTAAAAGACAAATGGTTTAAATCACAATTTGAGTAAGCTTAAATCAAATTTTGTTTTTAAGAAGTAGTAGTCTAAACTATTCCTAATATAAGTTGCGAATTTAAACAAAAATGTATTAAAGTTTTCTTGATTTATAAATTTTTAAACAGTGGTCTTTTTTATATTTCTTTAATGTTTTTTCTTTTCCCTTTATTTTTTATAGTATAGAATTCGGGGCGGCTGTGATTGAATATGCTATAAATAGAAAAACAAACAATTGTCCTCTATTAATGGTACGACATCCCTTTGATTAACTGTTTCGTGCAACAATTTCGATTTTATACACACATTTATATATAACCTTGGCTGACCCGCTTCGAGTTTAATGGGAATGGCGGCCACTCGGTCCCCGAAATGATAAACCTCCCAAGGCAAAGGTTTGGGACAATCGTTGCCAAGGGTCTTTGGCTCCGGGACTGTGGGTCCGCTCGCTCAATCAAAGGCTGAATGGCGAGTGAGTGTGTGTACTATGGCTGTAAGCCCACAGGGCGGCCCAAAGGCGCATGGCGGAAATAAACTGGTAGCAAAAAGGTGCAAAGTGTTTGGAATTTTATGCGCATTAATTATACGCAGCGAGCACGCCCCGAAAATGCAAATGAATTATTTAGCTTGATATTTAAGCTGATTGAGATGAATTAACTTGAAATAAATATCAAAGGAAGAGGCCCCCACAAAGGTAACTTAATGCTCAACACGTGGGCGAGCGTTTACAGTTGCGACTCGAGTTTCCCACGGCGATTGGTAGAGCTTTGTCAACCAGCAAGTAGTTAAGCCAAGGAGGCACGAGTCCTGTCGCAAGTGTCACTACCCATGTGACTGTAAGTATTACCACTTTGGCAAACTTCAACTTTCAGAGCCAACGGGCAAGCAACCTGTGTGAGTATTTTACTTTTCCCGGCGATTATGACGGGGCTTTCTCTCTGATTGCAGCCCTTGTGTTATTTTCTGGCCCCGAGTTGCACACTTTTTGGCGGCTTAAATGGGCGTGGAGGGAAAAAGTTTCTGTGTTAATGATTTTACGACTGCGAGAAAAAGTTTTCCTCTTACTGCGTTCAAAAAAGGTAAATAGTTTTGTGTTGGGGCCAACGAGTTGGATAATGACTTCTAATTAGGTATAATTAAGAAAGTATAATCGTAATAATAATAGAAAAATACAAACAATATGAACTTACGTGGCTTCGGTGACTAATGAATCAACCAGGGAGGCGGATTTGGGAAGTCTAAAAGAAATTATAAGAGTACAAAACAAAATATAAAAAAATAAAAGCAAATTTAAACAGATAAACTTAAACTGTCAACAGAAATCAATTGAAGGAGTTTCAATTAAGTAAATTTAAAGATGGTTAGTTTAAAAGAAAACAGACTAAACCTGAAAATGTTATTTTCTGTTACCCACTCAGCCTTGTTAGCAATCTCTAATAAATTTATTTAATATCCTTCCTGCGCCTTCCGCTACATTTCTGTGGGAGTTTATATATCGTCGGCATAATTACCTGCAAAAAGAATGAAAAGTTTTCAAAGTTAATGAAGATGTATATGGCCAGCGATTTTGAATGTGCTAGGGAAATTAATTAGATAATTTCGTGTTGGGCCAATGGAGCACAAAAGACCTGCGAAACGCCCACCCAAACTAAAATGCTTCCTGACCTGACCCTCTAATTAAGCCATAGGATATGATTACAAATGCGAAACAGGACCGGCGCTCAACATGAAAGTGAAATAAAAGTCCAAAGTTCACGCTCAAGCGGACCCAGTGGGCCATTCCTACATATAGACTCGTAAATCTCAAGCTGAGCGGAGAAAAACAATTTCTTAACATAAATCAACTCAACGGGGGAATTGTGAGTAGATGTTTCGCAGATATTTATGTAGCAATTTGCCGACAAGGACAGCCACGTATTGATAAACAATACGAATCGAATCGAATTGAATTGCAGGTGGGGAGGGTTTCAAATCGAAATGTAATGCAAATCGGTCTCTGACCTTGACCCAATGAAAATGCCACATGGTTCGCGGCCCGTGTCCTGTGATACAAGCCCTGAATAGCAAAACAACAGTATTTGCAAAGCGTACAACTTACAAAGGGCAACCAAGATAAAAGTCTAAGCTGGTACCCATCGCGTATACGTAATGCAACAAAATACATGCAGCAAGGCCAGCGGCAGGGGGCGGCATGGGAGTCGGGTGGTGTTTTTAGTAGAGCAACAATGTTGGGGAGTGGCCATGCGTAATTTATGCCAAACGATGCCGCACACCAACAGTGGCAGCTGAAAATTTTATTCAATTAAGCGAAGCTCTTCGTTTCATCTACCACCCTTTTTCGCAGCCCCCTAACTTGTTTATGGCAAATTGTGAGCTACGGCAACAGAAAGGAGCGTAAACTTCCCGCCACCAGCCGCTTACCTTCATCACATTTCTAGCTGGGTCCTTTTACATAACGTGGCATTCATTATAAGGCTAATTAAGTATACGCCATGTTGTCAGCCTCGGCACTCAATGCACTCTGCACTGTTTGCATTTGGCTGCTATTCTCGTGGCAAAACCAATACTTGGGAACATATGGAGGCAACGTTGGTTTTGACGAGGTTACGCCTGAGACTGATGAGATAATAATGGTTTATTGCGCTTGATAAGTGAAGCAAAACAAGCTCATCCTTCAAGGATAAAGTTTACTACAACATATGGATAATTTAATGGTTGAAAGGAATTGAGCAGAGGTATCGGCAAAATATGGAAATGTTATGAATGTCAATAGGAGAGCAAGCGTGTCCTTTAAGTAAAGTTAAAAGTTTTTTTTTTATAAAAAAAAAATAAAAAAAAAAAAATAAAAAAAATATTTTTTTTTTTTATTTTTTATTTTAATTAAAAATTATTGTATTACCTCTTTAAATTCACAAAAAAGTTAAGTTGGTTGAGACAGAACCTCTCCCATTTGTTAATCATAAAGTAAATGAAATACCAACTTGCTATCCAGGGATTGCAGATTAATACAAAAACGGAATATGCCAGCAGTTAAAAGCGGAACACTCGCAGAAATAGAAGAAAATATAAGCGAAAGAATCGTTCTTAAAATAAACCCCAATAAGTAGGCAACAGTTTTTAGTGCCTTTCGACTTGGCAGCGAATGTTGCTCATACGCCGCGTAATCCCCACTGCCGCACGCTGCAATGATGCATCCAAGGACTGCGCCACGATGCAGCATCGTGTTGACCTTTAGCACACTTTCCGCAGCAATCCCTCTCACTGTCGCTTTGCCCCCCTGCTTTATTATCTTAATTGTTATGCAGGCGAAACTTAGTTGGTTTTGTGTGTGTGTCTTGGCATATTTCATTACTCAATTACAAAGCAAACTGTTTGAAGAGCCAGAGTCAAATGGAAGTATTAAGCCGTTTGCTATTTTCAATTAACGGCCAAGTTGCACAACACCCAGCGACGTGCTGAGTCACAGATGAATGAATGAATCGCTGGAAGAATGAATTGCAGCACTCACAATAACACCAACACAAGCCCCCACACCGAATCGATTTAATGAAAGATGCAATATGGCAGGATGAGTTGACCCTGATCTAATGCAAAAGGGCCACAAGCTGAGGTCGTCATTTAATTAAGAAATGCTTTGACTCCGGTATGCGGCCACTGCTGTCAAACCAACAAGTGGGAATACCTACTATTTATCCACTATTCAGTGCAATACATACTGTCAAATCGATATTCAATCGATTTTATGGAAAATTAGAAAGGGGCAAGACTTTAATTTTGCTTGGGAAACTTTGATAGCCATTTCTAGATAATGTCGGGAACCTTTTAAGATGGTTTCCCTGTCACGTACAGCCATGGAATGTGTGAATTTTCACTTAAAGGATTGTGTTATCGGGCGTTGGAGGCAGCAAGGAGCAACATAACATTGGATAATGTCATTAGCAGTAAAGTTGAGTAATTTTGTTTATTGGACAGCCGCGAGAGAAAGTTTCAAGGATACTTTATCCCAAGAAACTTGATTACAATCGACCAAATCACAAGCCATGCTCATTAAAAGTTATATTATTCTCCAAAAAGGTCCCCGAAATTGGATTAAAGTCGAAGAACCCAAAAGAGTTGAAATGCCAGCTTTGGTCGCTGGTGGTGTGCCATTTAAATTGCAAATTGTGCGATGTAGAAAAACGTGGCCACGAACCATTCTCCTAGGCTGTTGGAGCCTGTTGTTGACAGAATTAATTGCGCACGTTAACGTCGCCTCGCGGCAGCCGAAACCGAAAATTGAATTGAAGGCGACGTGGCTGCCGAAGGAGCGTGGCAGGATGTTGTAGCATCTGAAGCTGAAATTGAGTTACGCGTGTTTTTCATTCCGGCCATAAACACATTTTTGCCTCTTCCAGCCACAGAATTGCATTAGGCCAGCGGGAAACAAAAGCCACAGAGGTTGGTTCTTCAATAAAGAGTCGGAATTGATGTCCGGAGACAATGAGTTGTCCTGTCGGTTCGAATGGCGAACCAGATGGCTCTTCCTTGCCACCTACACTCGGCATTACGTATACGCCCCGTTATTGTGATTAGGCAGGAGCCCGAAAAAGCCCAGCCATAAATTTCAGTTGCAGAGCCAGGCAGAAATTTATGAACCACAGCACAAAACAAAATGGCCGTCCTGAAAGCTTAGGGCTATGTGTTTTACACTCGACCAAATCATCACACACCCCATCAGAAAAGCGGGCCAAAGAGAGCATACCCAGACACATGAGCAATTGGGACTGGCTTTTAAAACTGGCAACTGAGCTGCCATTAACGCAATGCAAATAGAACCCTCCCAGCTACCCACCCTGCCCCCGGTTCCCCCTCGTTGTTGGGTGGCTTATCAAACGGTGATGTTTTCTACTTTTGCTTCTCTGTATTATTACGTTTTTTTTTTTTTGCCATTTTATAGAGCGTGCCAGTTTTATGTAAATTTTAAATATTACTCAAGAGGCGGTTTATTTGCTGGAACCATTGGCTTTATGACTGTGACTGACGGGACCCCAAAGGGGATCAGGGGAATGATGTGTGATATCTGCAACCATTTGCATAGTTGGATAAGCACTGTAGACGTGTACTAAATGAGCTACAAAATACCGCAGATAAGCGAAGTGAGCTTTAACAGACAATCCTGCGAAATGGAATGGTACACGTATTTATAAGCTATTTGTGTATATTTATTATGAATTGAACCTTTTAAATTAAAAACGGTTAGTAATACCATTTTTCATGGAACTAATTCCTCCATAAATTAAATTAAAACTTTAAAATCGTTAAATTGAAAATGGCAGTTTAAGAAATTGAAGAATTTGAAAACAATTATTTATTAATTTAATTAATTATAAGGTGATAATAAAGGATCTCTTTTACCTTTAATTTTACACTCTTTTTTATTTCTGAAATCACATGGTCCTATTAAAAATATTCTAAAAACTGAAGAGAGAATTTGTCAAGAAAAAGGATTTTCAAATCAGAATTTAGTTGTAGGACAGTTCTGTGATAGTTTGCAAACACACTTATTTAAAGCGCTTAACAAGGAGGAACAAAGTTATTTAAGTTTTGACGTGGCAGTGGCATACTAGCATTCAGAAATATAGGGATGCCAGCCTTGCTGACATCCACGAAAGTTTTTGGCAGAGCATTTCTCATGCTGCGAGGACAGCGGGAAATAGAAACAAAGCACGTAGTCTGGCTGCCGTTTTTACGATATGCCGTAATTTGCTACTTTGACGCAAGTCCTGGGAGTCCTGGCCGCTTTTATGTGTGTGCGTGCTGCGGCCCACACACGCACCCACACAGTCCCACGCTTCCTGTCCCCCGGATGTCGCCCTCCCTCCCAGTCTGTTGCATCGTTTGTTGCCATTACCCGCCTGGCCTGTCACTTCCGCGCTCCGTTAATATTTATGTTTTGCCAGCGCTTGTCTTGGCTCTTAACGCGACTTTATCATCGTCTGCGTCTGCAGCAGGCCCGGCAACATGGCAACATTATCGTGAAGGGCTCAAACAGAAACGAAAGTTTTGCCCTGACTGGCCTTCCTGTTCCTTCCTCGCTTTAGTTGACTTCCGGCCGTGCACTTTCCCATCCTGCCGACATTCAATTTATCTTTATTCGAGCAAAAAGGCAAACTGCTAACATATGTTTCCCTCCTGGTTTCCTCCATTTCCATATGTTTCTGCCGTGTCCTGATTTCATTCCGCTTAATATCGAGCATATCGAGCGGCCAAAGCATCTGCATCGTTCGCACCTTGGCCAGCCTGGGGTCACTTTACGAGCAGCATTAAATTTTATTTTTTTCATTCGGCTTTTGCTGCTCTTGCGTGTAGGGCCATAAAAATCCGTTTTGGCAGAACCTTTGGCCCACTTTACTTTTTGGCATAATTGACCGCCAATTGGTGTGGCACAAGTGGCACGGACAGCGTCGACGTGTCGAGGTCGAAAGGTGCATCCATAAAATTGGTGTTAAGTTGATTGGGCATTTTGATGGCCCCTGATTAGCAATGAAGCGACTGGGCAGCCAATTATAGACATTTTGGTAAAAGGATATATTAAAAACCTGGAAGGGGAATCTATTTGACGAGTCACCATATGGAATTTTATTAAAACAAATTATATGCTCACTGTCTTTGAGTGCTATTCAGTGGCCTAGTTAAAATTTGGTTTGACACTTTTTGTTTACAGACTAAATCTTTGGGAAACCGAAACAATAACCCAACGTGAAACACGCACCGTCAAATAAATGAACCTTTTCATAAGGTCCCCTGACCGTTTATTCGTTTTTTTGTGGGCGTGTGAAATTCCCTGGCCAACAATTAGAGGCTAAAAAATTCGGGACAAACACTTAATTTGCATAAAAATTACTATTTATATGGGCCGAACGATTCGGCACGAAACAAATGCCCAGAGGTATAAATATTAATTTGTGGTGCAAACAATAAACACACAAAGGCGCACCAGAAAAGATTCAAGCACAGGAATGGACAGTATAAATTGAATTAAATGCGACAGCTGAAAAAATAAACACAAAACAAATAGTTTCGGCCAGGACGTTGGGCCTGGGCCACCCATGGCGCAGACGGCAATTAAGGTCCTGCCGAAGGGAGACCGAAATGAAATTGCACCGAGTGGAGGGGCCCGGGCATCTCCGTGCAGTGCTGACCACAGAGATTGTTGCTTTCGGGCCAGACCGTTAATTTGGCTGGCAAATGGCAAGTGGTAAATGTCAAATGGCGAGCGGTTGGACAAGGCGTCGTTAGCACCCACGCTATGTCCTGGCAGTGGCGATGGCGATATGTCCGGCGGTGTCCTGCCTTGACATGAAATTTTAATACCCGACTTTAAATTTAAGTAGCCTGCGAGGTTTTTGCATTCGGCTTGGCAGCGTTTCAATTGGATTCCTGCCGCTCCGTCTCTTATTTATATTTTTATATCCTTGGGAAATGTGTTTCAGGAGGCCAAATGTCGCGTCGATAAATTTCTGTGGCTTTGCTTTTGGCTAGCCTGAATTTATTTATTTATTTTGAGGCCATTGCTTTGATTTTATTATGTTTGCCGTCTCCAGGTGGGCGAAAAGGAAAACTTCGGTCGGCCTTTGATTTGCTTTTCGTTGGGATTTAGGGCAAATGTAATATTTATATAATTTCAGAAGAAACTCCCTGACAGCGGCATTTCTATTTCCATATAGATGGCATATTTCAATCAGGCAACGTCCTAGCGACATGTGCAAATATTTGTTTCTTAACTTTCGTTTGCCCTCGTTTTGTTTTGTTAATGATGACCCGAATAGAATGGAGAATGGAAACTTTTTGTCCGCAATCAAAAGTTGCTGTTATTGTTGGCTAGCGAATTGTGTCAAGCGGCGTTAAAAATGCATTGCGTACTTTTCAGGAGCGCCCCGTTTGTCCTGCTTGTTTGCCAAGCAATTTGGGCGCAAGATGAAACAGTTCTTACTCTTTTATTTCCCCCCTGCTTTCTTTTTTGGCATAATTTTAGCAACAAAGGCAAGGGCACGCACACATATACACTCGCAGAGAGCAAGTGCAAATAGTGTAAATGTCCTTGAAAGCGCCAACAACTTTGGCCCTGGCGTTGGCAAAAAAAAAAAAAGAAACACAGAACAAATCAGAAAGGGAACCGAAGAAGCGCATGTACAGGTGGGGATTTGCAGGGCTAACAGATGGCAGTATTGCATTTGGCAGTTACTCCAGCATACCCCAATCTCCATCGATTTTTGGCCCCAATAAGGGCTAAATCCCCCTGTTCCCATAATGAGCAACTCGTATGCATGACAGCAGAAATTGAATAAATTAATTCATTGAAAATTATAGAGATTTAGCCCTGATTGCCGAGGCAAGGAAATGGCAGGAAGACGGGCGAAAAGACAGGCAACAAGCCAGCACACACGTTTTCTGAATGCACAATTATTAAATAGGCTGACAAAAGGACAACAAGGGGGCGTGGGGGGGTGGTGAGTGCTAGGAAGCGGGCGACATGGCGTCGTTTTTACTCGTTTTGGCCACATCACATGTGCACAATTCGCAGAGAGGAGCATAGAGCGCCGTTTCGGGCTCTCTCGTATCGATCCGCAAAACGAGCAAAAGTCAACTGGAAACTGGAAAGCAACCACCAAAAGGAACACATCCTGCCTGCCCTCCCTCCACCACCCTACTCCTCGGCATTTTCTCGCCGACATTGGTGACAGTTTTTCGCACACAGAAAGCTGGTCAAAAAACCGAGTGTACCAGTGTTCAAAGCGGAGGAGGGCAAAGGGACAGCAGCCAGCTCGAATGACTCAACATTTTGTGGTTATGCAGGAGCCACGTGCAAATTATTTTCATTGGAACCCACAAAAGATAAATAAAAAAAAAAAACAAAAAGCGAGATACAAAAAGCAACACGAAGCTGGTCCAAGTCGTCAATGTCAATTGATAGTGAAAGGACTAGCGGGTAAAAGGAGAAAGGGGCATCCCGTTGAATAGGCGTGACACATCACGGTCTTTAGTTTCAAAGGCAGCGACACCAGCTGTTGGCAGCTGGTTGGAAAAACGTGCCCCGGATTGACATCCTGGCCCAGCGCACACTCGCACAATTAAATATTAATGCGCGAAATTAAGTGAAAAACAAGGGCATTAGTTGACTTTGGCTTGTCTAAAGGATTAGCCAGCAACTTGTGGCATTAACAGGCTATAACACCCAGCTTAACTTGTCCAAAAAATCAGTCCAATAATTGGATTTTACTTTTTTTTGTCTCCCCAGAATGTTAAGTGTGGATGAGGAGCAGAAAACTGGAACTCTAGGTGCCCCTTACGGAATGAAAGAAGCCAAACTAAATTTTTGGGTGCGGACTGTTTGGCCAGAGATTGATGAAGTGCCCATAAAAAGCGAGAAGGAGAAGGTCAAATGATACGGAGAGGTCGGAAAGAAATAGGGCAACACAATCATTCATTTTGAAAGAAGGATGCCATGAACGATGTCGAGAACTTGAAAACAGAAACTTGTTCTTTTCCTTTTTTGACAGTTCAGGGGTATTCTTGTGGTTACGTTTTGAGCGGGGGAAGATCAAAGTAAATATAAAATTAGTAAGGGAGAAGCATAATAAGTTATAAGTTTAGTTTCAATAGTTGTCCTTTGTAACAAACAAATTTGGGTCATAGATAAAGGACTTACAATAAAAGGTTTTTAAAACAAAATATAAAGATACTAATAAATAAAATAGACAAATAAGAAGAAATTTCGAAGGAAACAACCAAATAAGTGAAAAGTAATAAAAGAAAGGATAGATATAATCCTTGAATATGAACCATAGAATTCTGCTCTGAACAAATCTATTGGCAATTCCACGAATCATCAATCGAAAAGTGTTTTAGCCAATTTTCATGGCATTTTAAAATTGAAATTGCTTGCCATAAAAGTTAAGGGAAATAAATCAACTTCCGCCGCGCAGAAACGGGGCCGTAAAAGGATATATAGGAGCGAAATTATCGGGCATTTGGCTTGCAGTTTAAGCAATTATGTTCAGTCACGTGAGCACGTGCGGAATGCAATGAAATATGCAGGAGAACCAGAGTGTGCCAACTATGATGAATGTGGCGTGGAAAAGCGATTGGAGGGCAGGTGCGCCGGCGGGCGAAATGTTAAAAGGTACAAATTGCAAGGTCACATTGGCACGCCATGTCAGGTTGGTTGGAGTCAGGGATTGGCTTTGGCGTCACGGAAAACTAGAAAGATGGGGCGAAGGATTACCCAAGGGGAAATGTTGTATTCGCACTCACCTTTTGCCAGCTTCCTCGCCCTCCAGTCCTTCACCGCCGGCGGCGGCAGCTGCCTCCGGATCCACGGCTGCTGACGAGGTGGCCTCCAAGGATGTGGAGGCGGCTGCTGGAGCGGCTGAGGCCGCCTCTCCTGTGGGCGCGGGCACATCCTCATCGCCAGCGCCGCCCTTCACGGCGCCCACCAGCGAGGTAAATTGATTTGTTAGGCCAGAAAACATGTTGGCTGCTTCTGCTGCTTCCTTTGCTCTCAAGGATTATTGGTGTGTCGGTGTGTCCTGACCAGGAAAACGTGCGCACGTTCGGCTCTCTAGCTCTCTCGGCTCTCGGTTTTCCACTGCTGCTCTCCCGCTCCTTGCGCTCCAACTTTTACTACACTGGGCAGATATGATATTTTGTAATAGGTTTTTCTTTCTTTCAGTGTTTCGTTCGCACCACAGAAGTTTCACTTTCAACGCTCGGCGTTATGTAAATTCTCGCATTTAACTTGCAATTTGCACGCTGCAAGATGGCAAAAATGGGCAAGATGGAAGGGAAAATATAGGTTTTATTTGCAACTTGGCGAGGCAGTGGGGAAAATCAATAAAACGGTCTGCGAATTGCGTGGCTATTGGGCACAATTACACGATAAATACTCTACGATTCGATCGATTTTCCACATGGACACACGCCACTCTCGAGTTTATTTTGATAGCTTTTTGCTTGCTTTTTGACTTTTGCCTTTTGCACAACTAAAGTAATTTGAGTCGCAGCCAATTACCACTTAAGCTTTTCTCTGCCAACTGGATATTTGCTTTTTTAGGGTTTTTTGTTATTTGGTCGCCAGGAGACTTTGGATTCTCGGCTGCCCACTTCGAAGGTCCTCTGAAAACTGACGGAGCAGCGGAATGACGATGGCTCAAATACCGAGCTGGAGTCTCGTCTGCGTCCTCTCTCTTGGGTTCTCGCTTTCTCCCTGGAAAAGTGGAGTCCAGCCCCTCCTCCGCTTCAGTTTGGTATTGCGATTTTCGTAGGTGGTGGGTTCTCCTTTGTGCGCTGGAATGCTGTTTCGATTTCTGCGCATGTGCGCATAATTTACTTATTTGGATTTCGCAATTTTATGGTGTTTTGTCTTTGTTAGCTAGCGCAATTAGACAAACAAATGACACGTCTAAGAAACAACAACTGCGCAGCAATAACGATTGTTCTCGGCCCCTTTTTTGGCCAGTGCTGCCCATCGAACAGCTGACTGACGGTGGCCGATTACAGCGCCATTCAACCTATCGATATCTATTGCAACAGTTTACTTGAAAATTGATTTCAAATTTCTGGTGTTCCAGTTTCCCAATTTATAGGGTCTATTTCAACATAATTTTAATTTATAACAGTACCAGGATTAAATATTAATGGTCAGATTAGTACCGCCATTTTGATATTATAAGTCCACAAGCGAGTTGAAAAATGTAATATTGGATAGGATCCCCATAGCCATATTTCTGCACATCTAGAAATCTTATGGAACTAATACCAGCATAAGGATACCAAGCAGCAAATATCATAAAGTTAGCAAGAGCTTAAAATTTGTAAGCTATAGGATCCCGTTTAGTTTTCAAAAGAAAATTGTTCCTGACACCCACTATTTTAACATAAAAACTCCACGTCATGTTCGTAAAACTCTATTTACATCAACAGACTTTCGGTTTTTGTACTTAACAAGTAGTTTTTAAATCAATTATCAGCTAATTAGTTCGATGGGAGGCAATATGGGTACTCAGCGCCGCTGCCTCGCCCTACTTTGCGGCTCCTCCTCCGTCGCTTCCGCCGTCTCCTGCTTCGGCTGTCGCGATTGCTGGGCCTTAATCTCATGGTCAAGTCGCTCTTTGGCTCGGAAGACCTTCGATTGGATGTAGAAAGAGCCACCGTTGGAGCGCTCGTTAACCTGGAACAGGTGTTCGTAATTCTTAATAATGGCGTCCACGTTCTTGGGGTCGTCCACGTTTAGAATCTGCTTGGCCTCCTCCAGCGTCATACCTGCAAATAGGAGGGATATGAATACTGGTCTTTGGAATGTTTAAGAGCAGGACTTACCAGTGCGAAGGTTCGACTCTGCGCTCTTGTCGCCCTGCTGTCCGCCGCCCGCCCGACGTGCCGCTTCCTGGGAGGCGGCGATCTCCTGCCGCAGCGCCTTGGTGAAGGCCCTTCCTACCGCCTGGGCGCCCAGCACGATGATCTGGGCGATGTACTTGGCCATGACGACTGTGAGTCGATTCCTTGTGCTGCTCTCCGGCTCGAAAGTAAAATTTGTGGCAATCTGTGATTACACCTCAATTTTGGGACTTAAAAACGTGTCGCTTAAATTACGCAACAGCTGATAGGCCTCGGATATTTCTAATGTGCTACTTTGTGGGTGGCTTTCTAAAGGAATAAGTTTAATACGTTTAAAACACAATTTTGATTTATTTATTGCACTTTTAATGGAGTTCCAGGTAAATTTATAGTATTACGTTCGCCAGATAACTTCCTAAGCTTGCTAGCGGCGAAAAGCGGGCGAAACAGCTGTTTGACTTGTGATGGTATAGGGATGATGACATCGATAGCTATCGATAGATAACCAAGAAAATCTAGCTACTTTTTGTAACGGCTAATGTTTAATGTATATAATATGTACATGTTCAACACAATTATTTGCATAAATATTTTCGTTTCGGCCGCTTTTAATAGTTGTTATTTTGTAAGATATTTTTATTAAGAATCAGTTGATTTGAGGGCGATTTATATTGTATTTATCATGGTGTATCCTAGCCATTTAAATATAAATGTTATAAAATTAAAAACAAAATGTAGCTATTTTTAGAAATCGATATGCTGAAACTCAAACCAATCGAGAGCATTGCTTTAGTCAGTTATCGTTTTCAAAAATTCCAAATTCAGTTGGCTTAGCAGATGGCTCAAGATCCCAAATGGAAAAAGGCTTACGACCGACTAGTCCGTGAGCACTTCGATGAGCAAAGGCAGGTGCCTCAGCTGCAGAGCCAACTGCGGCACTATGGGCACAAGAGGGAACGCCTGCGGAAAGAAATCGAGAAGGAGAGCAAGGGCTTAAACGTCTGGATAGACATGATGGACCGCTTGCGTCGCGGAGTGGAGCGCTTTAAGAAACACAAGCACCTTCTCACACCCAAAAAACACAAGCAGCTGCGACGGATAATGCGGAAGGTGCCTATGAACACGTTGGAGGAGCGGGTGCGACTGATGGAGGTGTCCGAGAATTTGGTTCCCAAACCGTGTAAGGATAGCGCCGTTACGAAATCAGAAGAAGGCCGGAATGTCCCAAGGTACTCCGTGCCGGTCGAGAAGACATGTGATCCCAAGACTCAAGCACCGATGGACAAGCGGCTGTCCAGGATTAAAGCCGATCTGGAAGCCCTGCAACGGATCCACGAGCAGACCATGGGCGTCGTCAGTGATATACGTGCTATAATGGCCACCATCAACTATTTGGACCGGGGCTATTGCACCAACATAAAGATCACTCCCTATGTGGAGACCAAGAAAGATCCTTCGCCGCCTATGAAGGCAACCATCAAACTGGACCGTCTGCGAAGGACCAAGCATAAGACGCATTACACTCGGGAACTCATGGATGTCCGGCCACCCTACATCCTTGACCATGTGCCGCAGCTAAAACCAAACATCTTTGACTTTCCGGAGAAGAAGTCTAAGCGCCTGAATTAAGCCACTTCTGGTGGGGACAATAATTTATTACGCCAAGAATTAGTCTACTTAAACATAGTCTAATTGAACATGTTCAATGCTACGCTAATCCTGTCCAGCTTCCGTTCGATATTTACAATTTACAATAAACTCGTTGATCATCGTTAAGCAGGGGTTGGGAGTTTTATAGAGAAAAGCTTTTAAGCCAATATATATCTCTGTAAAGTTCCCACCCGTTGTTGGATGATCCTTGAACTAAAACTCAAGGGCTTGGTTCTCGAAAGTCCTGCTTGAGGGGCTAACATTTACGTGGCACTTTTTCAATTTTGGTGTTTCCCAACCGGACTCATCGAGAACCCTCATGCCCATTAATTTCCTTATTTTGTGCAGTTGTTCCTATCAACAATCTCTGCTCTTATGGCCTGCCTCTGTGCTTTGTGGTGGCTGCCGCCAACGGGACATCTCAACAGAATCCCGGATTAGTGTGTTCGATGATGCAGCGCTTGCAGTACTTTTTGACCGCCCGGTAGCCCTCGATGGACACCGGGCAGTCCTGGATATTCAGCTGCTGAAGGCCACGGCAATAGTAGGCGATGCACTGCACCCCGCGGTCCGTGATCATGTCGCAGCTTCGCAGACTCAGCTTCTTCAGGTTCGGACAGCTCTCGGCCAGGGCTCGCAGTCCCGCGTCGCTCACATCGCACTTGCCTATGTCCAGAGCTCTCAGCCGCGGACAGGATCGGGCCAGAACGGTTATGGAGTCATCACTCACAGCCTCACATCCTCGGGCGTTTAGGTACCGCAGCTTATAGCACCGCCTGGCGATGACCTTCAGTCCGGCATCCGAAACGCGTTCGCACTTGGCCACGGAAAGGTAGCGGAGCGCGGCTCCCAACTTGGCCAGTTCATATAGGCCAAAGTCGGTGATGTTCAGGCAGTCGGATACACTCAGCTCCTTCAGCGATACGCAAAAGCTGGGCACGAACTTCAGACCCGCATCTAAGATGGTAGGCAGAGCAGGTATTAATAATTTATTTATTTGGTTTTAACTTTAATCTCGACCAACTCACCTGTGATTTGTATGCAGCGTCGCAGATACAGGTAAACCAACTGGGGACAATTCTTGACCACGATCTTCAGACCCATGTCGTCGATGGCCATGCAGTCCGTGAGGTCCAGGTATTGCAGCAAAAGACGACGCGGAGGCTCTACATGCGGATTCGGACTAATGCTGCTCACCTGACTGCAGCCTGTGGAATGTCAAATTAAAAGTTAGTTTTAAACATCTTTGTGATTAAATCGAAGAAATATTAAATGTTTATTATGTTTATGTAATTAAAGTAATAAACTCTGAATATATAACTTGGATTTGCATAACATTTTGTATACTGTTGCAGAGGTTATTATAATTTCAGTTCAAAGTTTTCCGACTGTACAATGTATTTATAAAGTATATATACCATAATACACTTTACCAAATGTAGCTATTTAAAAGTGACATATCTGTTTAGACTTATGCTCCGATTCTATAAAAATCTGCATTTTAATTTGTCATTTTAACGTTGATACATTTTTCCCCCATTTCTGTTAGTTTTCGATGACTTGTAAAAAGGTGACCCATAAAAGAACTTTTAGGGTGCATAGCTTTAACAAATTTAAGCCGATTTTAAATTAAATAATAATTTAAGTGCGCCAAAAAAAAACACATTTTTATAACAAGATAATTGATCCATCCGAAAATCTGTTTCCAACCCTTATATATATCCGAAATCAAAAAGGATCTCTCCACTTACCCGTCACATCCAGATGCTGCAGATTGCTGCACTTGGTCAGCGCCTCTACGAGCGCCTGATTCGAGACGCCCACGCAGGTCTGGAGTTGGAGGTGGGTCAGTTCCGGGCAGCGACGCGTGAGCAGCTGCAGACCCTTATCCGAGATGCGGCAGCCATCGGCTAGCATTACGCGCTCGACCTCCGGACAGGCGCCGTTGCAGCTCTGGCCACAAAGCTGCCGGAAGATCATCTTCAGCGTCTTGTCGCCGTTGAGGTGCTCGCCCCGCAGCGAGATCACCTTCCACAGTACAGGTCGCCAGGCGAGGTGTTCGAATCTCCGACAGACCCTCGCCGCGTTGCACAGCTCACAGCTGTCCAGCCAGGAGAAGATCCGGACGACGGCCTCGTCAGGCAGACGATCGAAGAGCGGGCCACATCGGAAAGGACCCTTTCGGTTCCAGGGCGGTGGTCCAATGGCTGTGCCAGGTCCTCCTCCTCCTACTCCGTTGCTGGATACTCCTCTTCGCGGCGTTGTGGTCGGCGTACTGCTGGCCATGATCCCCGCCCCACTGGCCGTGGTGGAGTTGGTCACGTTCCCTGGCCCACCGCTCGAATGGTGACCCGTGGGCGAGGGCGAGACCAGCGTGGCATAGCCCTGATCCAAGCTGGGCGAGAAGCGACCCAGGTTGCACAGGCCATCCGACAGGCTCTGGCCCTTGGAGTGCAGGTGGTTGGAGTTGGAGCTTCGGTTCAGTAGATAGCGGTCCGAGCCGCTCGTCTCGCTGGGACTGGAGGTGCGCGGATGGTGCAGGCGTTCTGGGGGAAAAAGAGAAGTAGGATTATATACTTTATTAAGGCCGGTGGTTTCAATCTAATCGGATAGTTTCTAAAGGGGAAAAAGTTCATGATTTAAGACTATTTTGGGTTTGATTTGTACAATTTATAATTATTAGTTTTATAATTAGATGTATAAGTATATATTTCTGACTTTAGATTTATAAGTCTTCAAAAGACTAACTGAAACAAATGCTTTCTTGAGACTGGCTTTGCAAAATTAATTATCACAAAAAAACGTTGAGCATTTTTAAGGGACTTTATTTGAGAGACTTTTCGGTAAGGATTACCAACCTGGCAGTCGCTCGTTCCCGCTTCCGCTGCTGTAGTCCTCCAGGTAGTAGCGCTCGTTTTGGTACTGACTCGCCTCGGCGCCCAACGGAAGGGCTCGCAGGGCGTTGCCCAGATACAGTGACTCCATCTTCTTGTCCAGCAGGTACTGGGCTCCGTTGCTCCCACCGCCGTTGCTGCTCAGTACAGTGGGCACACTGCACCGGCCACCCTGGGCGCGTCTTCGTCCGCCTGGCCCACCGCTGCCACTGCCCGCTCCCCCGCCCCCCGCATTGTTGTCACTCGAGTCCTCCGTGTCCGCACTGTTGCCGTGCATCCAACTGGGTCGCTGGGCCCCGAATTGCAGGACATGTTCCAGGGTGAGGAAGTTCCTTGGCTGCGGCACGGGGGCTACATTTCTGGAGGCCGGTGCCGGGAGTTCGGGTGATTTCTTCGCATGCCGCCCCACAGAAGCCGTGGAATGGGCCGCATAGCTGGATTGTTCTGGTCGCGAGTGACGACCTCTCAGTTCAAAGGTCGCAGCCTTTTGTTGCACCATGTGGAGCACCGCTGCAGCGGCTGCCGTCGAGGAAGCAGCAGCCTGTTCGCCGGCCGTCTCACCCACATCCATGCCGGGATTGGGCGACTTGCGGGACATCATCTTGTAGGCCTGCGGATCCAGCGGACTGGAGCTGAGTGGATGCGGGTGGTGGTAGTGGTCGCGCACCGCATTGCTGTTGCGACCCAACGAGGCCAGTGGACACTCCAGGTCGCTGCTGCGACGGCTGCTCGTCTTGTGGGACATGGTTTGATCCTCTTCGGGGGATTTGTCTCTCAGCAAGAGGCCTCTAGAATGGCAAGCAGGTCTGCAAATTAAGAGGGAGATTTTATTTATGGTTTATGACGAGTGGCTTTAGTTAATATTTTTTTTCATAGAAAAAAAAAAGGAAAAAGCTTTTATAAGAGATTCTTATTTTTTCTTATCTAAAATTTCTTTCGATGCTTTCCTAATAGATATCTAGTATATTTAAGCTAATTTTAGAAATTTAATTGGTCTCCTAGATTCAATGATTTCACTGAAAACTAATGACATTGCTCACTGATGATGCATACCTTTTGAAGGCATTAGCCTTCAAACATTCTTATACATCCAATTAATAAACCTCAACGATTACAATAAATTTAATGGAAATTCGTAATTAAATTATATTAATTGTAGGTTGGTGTAATATCTCTAAGCCAAATAAAGTCTAAGAGACTTTTATCGAACCAACGTCTGTGTCGCAGCTTCGCAAATGGAATTCAAATCTGCGATGGCCATGGGAACACGGAATGCCTTATGGATGTGTGTGGGTAGCCTTTTGTGGGTCTGCATGCCATTCGCAATTATTAGAGAAAAAAAAACAGGGATGGCGAGTCATAACTGGGAGTCATAAAATGTATATATTTTTACGCGAACCACTCCTCCGAAACTTTACTGCAGTTGACCTTTCAAATCCAGCATTCAGCTTGTGGGTGAAATGAGCTGGAGATTGTTGGAATTATCGGTTGTTGGCAAACAAATCGTTCTGCGCACGTATATATTTTTACAATTAATAAGGGGATCGCCCACGCTCTGAACAAATCATTGGTTAGCTTTTTTGGCCGCCTTATATATGTACGGGTATATCTTTTATTTGGCCACACGTATGCTGTCATTTCCATTGATTCGCTGCCTGGCTGCTCCATTCATTGTTGTTGGCCCGGAACCAGTTTGCTTGGGAAGGTGGGGGATTTGGGATGAGCCAGAGGAAGAGGCTGCAGAAGGCGTGGGCTGGCTTGTGGCCATCCGCAATTTGGCCTAACCTCAAGACCTTAAATTAAGCCGAAAGTAACCCAATTCGGCAAGTTGGGAACAAGAGATCTGGCAGAAGCCATAACCGTTCTCTGGCAAAGGGGGCTTTGCATAATTTACTCGACCAGCTAAGCTATCTAAATAGAAAACTATAAATTTATTTCAAATTTTCATGGCATTTCTGGGTGGGGCCTCGTTTTGAGGCACACCTACGGAAAAGGGGCAGGGGTTGGCTGGCATACTTTGGGACGAGTAAATCAAACGCTACTCACAAGTGGAGCTCAGCGCCTGGCTTTATTTTTATTGTAATCAAATTTGAAATTAATTTCGATTTTTGTGTTGTATCATTTCTGGCCTCGCCATAAATAAACACACATAGGCAGCAATAATAACACGGGGCTCTAGCACTTTGGGAGAGCCGACAGAAATATGTCTTGTCATTTGGCTTATGGCAGCTGATTAATCTTAGCATCTCCGAAACCGAAACCAAAACCAAGCCAAAACCAAAACCAAACCAAAACCAAAACCGAATCCAAATCTGAATCCGAATCCGATGTGAAGTGGAGCCGCCGCCTGTCGCCTGTCGCGCCTCATATGGAATGTCGCTCAACTGGTTCGAAATCCCAACGAAAATCTCCGAAGAAAGAAAGGAAAATGCTCCGAGCCAGAGATCACTCCACTCCACTCGAGAGCTATTTGATTTTTTCCTAGACCACGGCCAGCCGTTGCCATAATTCACAATAGTTGGACAATAAATAATTAATAAAGCACGCTCGGTGTGTGGACAAAAGTGTCAAATGGTTCATTGGGCAACACAGCATGGAATTTGCATAAATTTACATGCAAATGTAATTCATTTTGTTTGTTTTATTCTTTGTCTTCGTTGCTGAAGGGCTGAAATATCATTAGTAACGCATTAAGTGTTGTAAACAACCCACATAGCTTGTAAAGTTCTTGTTGCCCAACACTTTGGGCTAAGATTAGGACTTAGACAATGTCCAAGAAAAGGAGAAAGTATTCCCCAAGATAAATAGATTTTACTATTATTGAATGAGCATTTTCGATGATTGATAACATTTATCCATACATTTTATCTAAATAAAGTGTAAAGGCACAAAAATTATAGGTAATATGGCTAATTAATAAGAGCAGACTATATAATTTTTAATTTTATACTTTCATGTTTACTCAATAATATTAATAGACCTGATTGCCTTCACATGTATTACTTTACTATTGACTGAGAATTTACGATGCGTGAATATAATTTTATACATTTTATTGAAATTAAATGAGTCTTATCGTTTAACTTTTATTAACCATTATATTTCCATATCCTCACATTTAAATTAATATCCCGGATTACCTTCATAGCTGTCAAGTCGCTCAGTCAATTGCTATTCAATTAAGCCGCAGATATATTTCACAATTTTTATTGGCCAAATAAAAATTAAAAAATCCAGCAAAGGCCAAGCTCTCGGCGGACATCTATTGGAAACTGGTCTAGGTCTGTATCCATCTCGATCTGTGTCGATATTCCTATCTCTATCTTTACGTGCTTGTCCATATTTCCCTGTCGAAGCCAAGCCTCCTCAACTGAGCTCAACGAGCACACAAACGAGCACATAAAATATGACAACAACAAGTACTAATTATTTAATATGCTTAATGAGCAAATGTCGCCATGCTGGTGCCCACGGTGCACTCAAACATGGCAAGACTGCTTCGGCACATTGGGATAAAGTGGCAGTTATTAAGTCAAATTAGTAAGAGAAATATTAATGTGCAGTAAGTGGATCACGGAATGGGACTTGAAAATAAAAATAACAGGCCTCATTTAAGTTCTTAGCCTTAAGTTCAATTTAATTTGTACCATACAGTCTATAATTTGTAAAGGTCTTGCTGTAATAAACATTACAATGCTTTTATGTGGCTTGCTATTCGCAAATTCAAGGACATTTTAAGCTTTGCCAGCATTATATAAATGCAGATATCAGTTATTGCTTTCCTCAATTAAGTACAATAGTTTTTTAATAAATTCATTGAATAAATCGATGATCACGTCGATTTCTTCCACCTCTGTCATTACACTTGCGAAGCAATCTCTTCATAAATCCCATTCGACACACTGTGCGCTGTGTCAAACTAATAACTGCTATTTTCAGCGTTTGTGTGTGGCGACCGTTGTCTGCACATGGTTGAAATCTAACGCCGAAAGGCAACAACAAAGGCAACAGCCACATCTTGGCGCCACGGACAGCGGGCACCTTTTGGCCTCCATGGCTCGGCATGCTGAGCGCCTGGCCCGAAGTCTTGGCCCAAAGCCATGTGCTCCGGTGGGTTTCTGTGTGTGTGGCTACCGTTTTCTGCAGCAATTGCCGCTCTGTGGGTTGGCTTTTTGCATAGTGTCAATTTTGATTTAGCAAAACGTTGATGTTGCTGCTGTGGTTGCAATTGCTGTTGCCATTGCTATTGCCATTGCTATTGCTGTTGCAGTTGCAGTTGCCGGTTTCGGCTCCATTTGGTTGTCAGCGCACCCGCCTAACACCTTCTGGGCAAATAGACACCCACTCTGGGACTAGCCGGCGCTGCTTAGAAAGTGGGTGGCGCTGACAAGTTTTACAACAAAATAAAATAAGCAAAACTCATAAAAAAATATTTCTTGCGCATGCCAGTACAAAAAATGGGCGCAGCTTCAACGTGATTTTCTCAGCGATTTCACACAAAATGCAATTAGCCCGGCATGCCTTAACTTATTTAAGTCTCATTTATTATTTTGTATTTGATTTAAATCTCTGTTCATTTTAAACTCCATCATCACTGGCTTTCAAATTAATTTACACAGGCAGTTGGGCTGGGCAAATTTTGCGACACTGAGCTTGGGTATTGAAGTTGTTGCCATTCCTCGCACCGCCCAAGAAGATGAACCTTTGACATCTCTTCGATGTGGAGTTGTAGAACCAATTGTGCATGAAGGCTTTACCCTTGCCCTCATTCGGTAACTGAAGGCATCTTCTCTTGACTAAAATCATTTTATATTAATTATTGATATGACTTTTCCACAATTTCCACGAGACAAGAAACGCACTTACTCGAATGAGTATGATGCAAAAATAGCACCAAAAGAATAAGGAGACACGATATTTTCAACGGCATGGTGAAACAATTCGAACTGACATGAATGAACAGTTATTAAAGGCTTTTATACCATTGATTGTTTCCAAAGTACCTATTAATTCAGGTGTTATAAGCCAAAATTTATTATTTGTTTCAAATTGCGGATGATAAACAAATATTTGGATATTTGGGTGTTTGAAATCATCTGTTATTTATTTGATCTTACTTTTTTTTGGCAATTTGATCAAGTATACATAATACAAAAACGGTTATCAGTATGTAAAAACTACAGGTGTGCCATGTGTGGGAAAGGAGTTAACTATTTCAACAATTTTTTTAATCACAATAAATATTAGCACAATAAATATTACTTATCAAATAACACATATTGTTTTTGAAATACAAAACTGTGTTAAGCCTATACTTAAATAATAAAATTGCTTTGCGCCCGAATTGAAATGATTTTAACTTACAAATGCACTTTACAAACAATTCAACCTGCATATTCTCAAGGTCTTAAAGTTATTTGCATTTCCATTACTTCCCAAAAAACTGAATTTTCGGCAAGATCGCCGCTTACTGTCAAAGTACCAATTAGTCCTAGGGATTTTACCAATCCCAGTTTTTATCGGCAAATAGCAGATTGCTTCACCTAAATTTTAGTTTAAAAGGTTCACGTTTTCAAAAGTTTTTTAAGTATTGTATGAAGCTCTACTTACGACTGCTGATGTGAGGTGTAAAGCCCATTAAGATCAAACCGAGATATAGCCATTTTAACAGCATGATTTATGTGGGACTCGCTTGTTAGTTGATAAATGCACAAGGTACGAATATTAACCGGCTTTTATAGGTGAATTAATATTCCAAACAAACGTCTGAAGTTAAATACCCTATTAAGTGCAACACTTTAGGGGGTATTTCTATTAAACAGTATTTGTATTCATCAAGTAATTTTATACACGAATATTTTTTACTTAATAAGCTGTTAACCGAGCTAACATCATATAAAAACTGACTTACCCACTTACTGCCTATAAAAAGTCTGAAATTTATTTATTTTATGTCATTCTGCAGCAATTAAGCGCTGCTTAAATATTTATTTTAACACATTAACCCTAGCGCTAAAACATCTGAGCTTGGCTAACCGTTCAGTTAAGTTAAATGAACTCCATTTCTATGGCTACTCGTGTTTCTGTTGTTTCTATGCAAATGTTAAAAGATGAAAAGAATTGAAAGTTGACACAGTTCACAAAGAATTGGGAATTTTCGCAAAAAGAAAGAGAGGAGAATGTGTTTGTATTATTAAATATGTTAGGGCGACGTTTTAAAATGGGCTATATATTTGCCTGTGCATGTATAAACAGGCCTTCATTATCAAGGTTCTAGCTGAATAGGCTGTAGATGGGGAGTGAGGAAAAGAGATTGATCTGGTAGAAAGTATTGAATGGAACGAATGAAGATTCATTGTGGTAGCGGAATTAATTAGAGCATTCAGCTTGACTCAGAGTTATGCGATATCTGCGGATATATCTCAGCCTCTCTAACTGTAAATTATTGGAATTTTGTATCAATTTGTAGATTCTGCAATCTCAATTACTTAGGCAAAAAACTTTCTCAGGAAGCTGCTCAGTGACTGTGGAAAAACTCGTTTAGTTTTCCACTTTGCCATCGCTCATTTTTTTGTTGAGCGCTGATTGATCAGATAGTGCAAAAAATGTTTAATATATATATATATAAATTGATTTTGCGGCTACTACGCTCTATCCATCTAAATTGGACTTGGCTGCTCTTTATTTTTTGTGAAATTTCTTTAATGGTTTTGTGCCATTTCTTTCGTCATTATCTGTAACTAAAAATTTCACCCGAGCCATTAAAGAAGAACGCGCCGATTTTAGTCGAACTAATTAAACCGAATCTTATATAATGAACCGTGAACATAACAACCGTGAAGAGGAGCTGCGGCGATTGAAACATTGAGACTGTCATCAATCAAAGGCAGATTCTTGGGCAGTTTCTCATCCGACTCAAGAATAATTCAAATTCCAAGCGAACCAGTTCGTTGCCTGAGTCTTTCGTTCTGCCCGTGGCCCCGAAAATAACTTTTGGCAGCAACTGTAGGTAAAGCGGGGCTTAAGCCAAAATTAAACAGCCAGCAAAAGCAAAATAAATCACAAAATGAGGCCCAGAAACGAGGCGAGCTTATTGCAAATTACATGCTGTACCATGGGCAACGCTGACGTTGACGGGGCCAACACAATTGCGGACGTGAATGATGGCACGGCTAATCTGCAGATCCCCGATCCCAGATCCCCAGAGCTGAGATCCCCGGATCCGAAACACATAAATCCAGGCCAAGTCAAAGTCCAATAAAAATGTCGAGCAAATGCAAAAAGCGACAAATGCTTGACGGACCAAATGTCAGAGTTAATTTATCTAAAAGCGTTGCCCGACTTTTGTTAGGAAAGAGACGGACCTGCTGCGCTGCCAAAAAGAGATAGAGAGATCGGAAAATTTTAATTAAGACAAAATATTTGAAATTCTGTGCAAGACAACGAGGTCTCTCTAACAAGAAGCCAACAATTTGCCGCGCGCAATTTTTCAAATTACACTTCATTAAACAGAGACAGAGAGAAAGAGAGAGAGATGGCGATGATCGAGTGATAAGTGCAAGAGAAAAGCACCGTTTTGTCTCTGACTCTTGGCCACTTTTCACTTGGGAATCCGGCGAGAAAGAGAGCGAAACAGGTTATATCTCTGGTGGCCCGCATAAGCAAAAGCCAAAAGACGCCCGCATAGACAACTTTAGCTATTTCTGCCATCTAATATGCTACACATAAATTGTTTTACAAATTTAATTTTAAAGTTCAGCCTGCAGTGCCCTGCGACAACATCAGCAGCAGCGGCAGCAATAGCAACAATTGCGATTGCGACTGAAGCAACAACTATGTCAGTCACTCGGCAACATTGCCAACTAGCAGCAGAAACAACATTCCAGCTGCCTCCCCCCGCCGCCTCCTGTCCACCTGTACCGCTCCCCCTTCCCCTCCTCTCTTGCAGCCAGGTAATCGTCAAGCTCGTAACTAGCTGCAGCTACAAGTTGCCGTTTCTAATACAAAACTGTCGCTTGTGGCGTGAGAGACTGCGACTGCGACTGCAACTCCGACAACCGAGCTCTCTTGGCCACGATTCGCGGCGAGCTTTGGCTTCGAAACAAAATAACAAAATAAAGGAAAAATAAATAATAAAAAAATACGTCGCATTGCATTTTAGTATTTGCTGATTGCGCTGTTGCAAGAGCTATGAAATCATACAAACAGACACATAAATACCCGTACTCACACAGCGGAGGGAGACATACAATAAAAGTTGCGGACAAGAAAGGAAAGTCGATTAGCCGGAGGAAAACATCGAACTGGAAATACTCTGTGGGGGACTAACTATGAGAAAAATGTGTCATATCTGATCTTATCAAAATAACTACACTGATTCAGATTAAATTACCTAAACATATCTGTATCAAATTGATTACTGGGAACTTTGTTATCTTTATTCTACTTCACGCCAATAAAAAATGCATAAAAATTGACAAATTGTTAATCATATTTATCAATATATTTGCTTAGAAATTCTCTAGATTTAAATATAAGATTGTGACAGAAATTCCGAGTTTCATTGAAAAATGTGCTAAAATATTAAGAAATGGTCATTTAAACAAAAACCCAGTTACGTGTCCGGGCAAGGGACGTTCGAAACATAAAAATACGAAATAAATAAAGAAAAAACTGTTGAAAATCTCATGAAATCGGCAAGTGGCTTTTCCATGTTGCGGCGGCGATGGCGGCAGCCTTTTGGCTTGAAAGCTTTTTGGCTTTGATTGGGGCTGCGGGCCATGGCTGACTGCTGGATTGTGGATTGCATTGCCACTCCAAGTGGCCAAGTGGCTCGCTGGCTGGCCTGTCATTGCAATGCGCATATGTTGACATTTTTTATAGGAAATATTTGGAATTGTTGGTAAATGCACGAGTAAACGGGCGATCTTTGGCCGCTTTCGATTCGCCGCTGGCTGGGAAAGTGCGACCCCAACACGAATGCCAAAATGTTGTGATATCGAATGACCAATTTGTAATCATTTAACATGCAGAAATTACAAGGGAGAAGCCAGACATAATAAATTCGTCTGCTTGTTTCGGTTTCTGTTTGGGAGTATGGTTTCCAGCTAACCGAACTACAGGGGCAAGCCCTCGGGCACTTTGCTAATGATGTGAAGAACCGAAAACATTTGGCCAACACGTGTGCCAAAGAGCTCAAAATTATCTATCTGTGTACTGCAGAGTTCCAGGAAAAAATATGAATATGGGTATTTTCGCGGGGGAAAAAGGAAAGTCGTTCTGCGGATAATTGCCAGGCGATAGATGCCGTCCGTGTGTGTGTGTGTGTGCTGGTATTTGTGTGAGGATGAAATTCAATCAGTTGGCCATAAACATATCCGTTGCAGCAACTCCTAGTTGAGTTAATGACCAGTCGAGAGATCCCGACTTCCTCTACGTGTATAATTTGCATGCAACCGCTGGCCAAGAGGGTGTATCTGCAACTGCATCTGCATCAGTGGTTGTACCGCGAACGAGTTATATGCCAAAGTGGTGCAGCAGCAACAACAATAAATATATATCTCCAAAGGTGTGATTTTAATGTGACAACTTTTGCAACTGGTTTGGGGTCGAGAGTTTTCCTCCTTTTTTTCGAGGTGTCACGGAGAATGGGCGTTCGAATAATTCCATTAAAGTTTTACGATCGTGCAATATTAATAAAGAAATCTACAAAATATATGCCTAAGAAGCCATACAGAGACAGAGATAGAGGGAGAGAGAGGGGTGGAGAGGAGAGGGCGAGAAAGAGAGCGAAAGAGAGGGCTGAAAACCAGAATCTCGAATTGCAATTTAATAAGTTGTGATCGCCTGCTCTACCTTGATGATTATACAGGTAACTCCCTTCGGGTTCTCATTTATGCATCGCATAGCACTTTGTTTATTTGGCAGTTTTTGCAGCTTCATTTAATTTCCATTTATTTTCTCTGATATTCCACCACTCGCACACAAACACACACTGGCGCACTATTTTCTCTACTTTATTTTCATTGCAGGTCGCATGAGATGAGAGTGTGTGCGTCTCGATCTTTCACTGTGGCTCTTTGTGTTATCTTTTTTGCGCTCACTGACTCACGGCACCAACACTCGCGCACTCAAGCTTACACACGCACACCTAGGACACGTAGGCACGCAACGCTGAGCGGCGCCTTGAGGTTCGATTTGGTCCGCTTCGACGACACCTGGACAGCTGGACACCTGGACTCGCGGGCACCTGGATCTCTCGACAGGTAAATGGCAACTGACTCTGCGCGTCGCGCTGCAAAGTCTTCAGAGGGCGCACAGATCGCAAAGAGAGCGACGCGCTCTCTTGGGCACGGTACGAATCCACCATAGACATCCACCACAGGTGGTGGGAGGAGAGCATTGCCAGGCGGAAAACAAAAAACTTAGGCAACGAACTTGTTGAATTTAAAAGGCTGACATTGGAATCGGGAAATTATAACATTGTAGAACTAAAATGAAATAAAAGGACTTATTTAGAAAATACATTTAAGCAAGATAAAATACTGGACCTTAAACAAATGGTACTTTCCTTTAAAGAATTATGTTACATACCGAAGGGTGTTTAGTTGTCCTAAAAATATTCTTTAGGCGGAAACAAAATATTCAAAGCCTTTATTTTAAAAATTTTAATTCAAAACAAAAGGAAATTCTATTCTAACAAAAATGAATACAAAAAGCTACTTACATTACTTAATCCAAGCGAATTGTTTACTAATTTGATTACTTATATATTTATTTAAGAACCCACTTCACCACATTTTCACCTCATTCCCAAACTCCTGGCTCTTCCCCGCCCCCTTTGGTACTCACTGCCTGTTGAACATGTTGTGCTACTTATATGCTCTTGTTGCTTTGCTGCGATGCTTGCAAAAATATTTCCACCATGGCATAACTAAATATGCCTGTGGGCTAAACTGGCATACGAAAAGAGAGAGAGAGAGAGAGAGACATGGAAGAGCCATCGAGATCACTGCTCGCAATATGGAAAAAAGAGGCTTAAGAGCATGGACAAGTGCGCCTGTGTGTGTGAGCTGGATTACAGGCGCGCATGCGCAGCGCACGCCTCTCACCCTCTCCCTCCCTCTTTTGTTTGCAATGGAATTTCTTTCTTTTCATAAACATGTTTTCTGGCCGCTGTTGTTGGCTTATTACAGCATTTAAGAGGCCAAGAGATGGGGGGATTGGTATGGAGGGGATCGGGCACACACTAAGCCCAAGTGGCATGAAACAAGTTCAGCGCTCGACTTCGACTTCGACAGCTCAGCTCAGCTCAGCTCAGCGATGGTCCGCTCTCGGCCTGCTGCGTTTCAGCCAGTCCAGCTCTTAACTTCTTCTTGAATGACTGCGGCGCAGGAATGCAGTGTTGTAAATAGCTGAGGCCGCTGCAACGGCGGCGGCGACAGCGACGCCAGCAGCGACTGCAAGCGGACCGGGGCACATTGTTGTTGGGCGCAGAATCAGAGCAAGTCGGAGGACGCCCGGGCCAACAGATCGCGACAACGATCAGAGCAGAGAACTCGAGCTGCAGTTTTGCACAGAAAGAAAATGAAAACAGCCTTTTATGAACAAATAGTATGGGAGAATTAGGGAAATTTGAATGTTAGAGTCAAACTAGTTAAAGTTCTTATTTTACAAGCTTTAGAATATCCTAAAATCGAATAAAAACTTTCATTAATTTATAAAATCTAGGTGTCACACAAATAAGTATAGAATAAAAGAAAATAGAATTTGGATTAAACATTAGAAATAAATACTACATTAAATTTAATATTGATTTCAATCAGGATTCAAAATAGTTATTATTTATTTCTTCGGAGTTTTAGGAGTTTTTGACCAACCAAAATCAATTTAAATATAATTAACCATATTTAGATAATTCTCTAAATGTGTTTTTTTTATTTTATGTGGTTTTTATTAAGCAGATGAATACAATTAATTTATATATTTTAAAAAAAATCTGATGTGACACAAAGATCTCAGAATTGTAAAAAAGTCGTCTGAGCTTGGGATCAGTTCTTCAGTTGGTCTTCTAACTTTAGTTCAATTCTTAAGAATTAAGAGAAATAAATTGGACTTAAATAAGAAATAGCAGCAAACAAATATGGAAAGTGAAAAATTGGATGTTAAGAAAACAGTTTCATTCATTTTTCGTTGTGTAGCTGCAGCTTTTGCTGTTGCCGGAGCTGGAGCTGGAGCAATGAAAATTGCTGAGAGCGCCCCGAGGGCTTCCAACTTGGATTGGGACTGGACATGGTCCGGGTTCGGGTTCGGGTCTCTTGCCGCTGCTCTTGACCACGATCGATAAGGCTCGCACACACACGGCCACTTGAGAGCCTGGGTTCGAGTAGGTTATGTTTATGAATTGTCTTGCAGATTTTTGCACACGGAATTATGCGTTTATCTCAGAGGGTTAATTTCGCTGGCTGCTGCTGTTCTTATTGTTGCTGCAATTGCTGCTGTTTTCCATGGCCTGGGTAATTAAATCGCAAGAAGCTGATAATATATGGTAAAGGTATCAAAGTGTGCAGGAAAATGGTTTATTTGTAACCCCTTTTTTTGGCCAAAAGGGTTTCTGGCTCTGCCGCTGCAATTGCTGCTGCCGCGGTTGCTGCTGTGCATTTGCCCGCTAGGAAATTATTCATGATAACAGAGATTGCATTGATTGATTGTGTGGCTGCACTTGGGATGGGTTCGGATGGCCTCGCATCGCCCGATCACGCTCTGGGGCTTGGGGCGGGGGGCTGTGGGGTCGCGGGGTTGCTGGGAGCTGCTGCATCGACGGCTACCGAGCCTGAGTTATTTGGGCTATTAAATGTCTGTGATTTGGCCATAAGTTATAGGAACATCGACAATCAATTGTTGGCGGGTCTAGGCGGTTACCACATGTGGTAGTAGCTGGCCCCTGGCAACGGAATTCTGAAACTTAATAGTCTTCGAAAGGAATTCGGTAAGATAACTCTTTGAAGGATATTCATATTGAATATGGAAAGTTATTAAATTATTAATACGAATTAAAACTTATTTTTTGTAGGATTTTTAAAATTCCACGTCAAGAAATAAAACTATTTTGTACAGGGAAAGTTTGTTCTATCTTACTTTAAAGTTGTCAGAGCCTTGAAAAAACAAAAAGACATTCTAGAGATTACCTTTTTAGTTTCCAAATTACGGGTTTCGTGTTTTTTTTAGATTGAAAGCCCTTCAAGTTCAAGAGATCACTGTGCAACCTGTATTTGCTATTTTGTTTTTGCCAAACTTTGCATGTTTCCCTTTTCACCTACTAAAAATTTCGTTGACACTTTGACCTTGTTACCACCTTTTACATATTAATTGTTCTTAATTAAATTACTTCAGCTAAGAGCGAGTAAAGAAGTAAATAAAGTAACCCAAAACTAAATATAACTGCAGACATAAACCCAGATAGAAGCCCTTAAAATATGCAATGAAAACGTTTTTGGCCTCGATTCGTCACAAAGACAGGCCCAGAGTTGAACAACCCAGAAGAGCAGAGTGGGGGATATATATATTATACATGAACAAATATATATACATGACCAAATATTGGCACAAATGAGCGTGTCTCCAGTGCATTGATGAGTTCCCCTTTGGTATCGATCAAACAGTGGACTAGCCAATGCCGGAGAGATTCCAGGACTTGCCCCCTCGAATCGCAGAGCTGCCATGGCGACAATTGCATTGCAGCGAAGGAAATGTTAATGGGAGTGTTTTGGAATCTCGCTGACAGGGCACGTCGTGGCACCAAACCCATTACCAAGGCACACTAAACCATATACAGATGGGTATGGGGGGGTTGAGGTTCTTATTGGGCCGACCGAGTCTATAAAAGCTCCGACTTGTGTTTGCGGCCGTTTCAGTTCAACTTCATCGCGTCGTCGTCCTGTCGTCCTGTCGCTCACTCTTCCGCAGAAACAAAGAAACAATTAAAGTGCAGACCGCAAGGCGGAAGGAAGTGCATACCACAAGTGATCCCCCTGCCCCAGCGCCAAGTTGCATGTTGGATTGTGCCACAAACTTTTTGCCAAGTTACCCCCAATGCCCCATGCTGGCTCCTTCGCCTGTGTAAAATGAAAGCAGACAACTTCTTCAAGTACGGCACCCCTTTGTACCAACCGAAAAGTACCCGGACCCACTCGCACTTGCACTCGCAGTCGCAGTCACAGAACCAACCGCAAACCCACGTCGGCAACATCGGCCATCTGACATCGTCCTCGCTGCTGACGAGCGACGACCTGCGTCATCTCACCCAGCAGCGCTGCACAGGATATTCGGACAGGGAGAGCATCGCCAGCGTGAGCAGTGCGGGTGGCCGGATTAAGAGGCGATCGAGGTAATCCTTCAGGGATTGGGTTGGGGAACTCAAACTTTCAAGCTGCCTTGACATGTTGCATAAAGAAGTTGTTGTCGTTTAACTTGAAACTGACAAAAGCAGTTTATCTCGAGTTCTTCTTGTGAAAAACAAAGCAATTGCATAACAATGTTAGGTTGCAACATCAGAGAGCAAACACAGCGACAAGAGAAGTTGTCTTAAATATTGAATACAATAGAACTTTAAATAAAATAAGTAACAAATTATGTCCTGCACTTAAATTGAAACCTTAATTTTATGTTTTTAAATCAGAGTTTTACCACTTTTTATTAATTATGACTTACATTTTAAAAATTATAAACTCAGAGAAACCCAAGCAGGCTAATAGGTAACACTTTTGTTATTTTTTATGTATGTTCTTTGTATTGCCACGTTTTGAAGAAAATCATAATTTAAAAGGTTTGATTTAATCTATATCTATCTATATAATATATAACTAATTGCATTTGTGAGGACGTTCTCCTTAATTAATACTTATAATTACATTTAGAAAACTGTGAGGAATATTTACAAATAATAAATCTAAATTATTATTTACTATTTCATGTGGTGTTTAAAAAATGCAACTAATTTAATCATTTATCAAATAAAGAGTAATAAAGTATTCAATCTGTCTTGGTTCAAAAATTCCTGCCCAAATCAATATGCCAGCTATTCTAGATCGTTTTTATGAGTTTTCAGCTTATTAGCGGATATATCCGTAAACACTTGCTGCAGGGTGGCCAGGATTTAACAACCCTCGCAGAGGTGTTAGCTCAACCATGACGCATGTACTCGGCCACAGGAGCAGGGTTAATTTTGTATTTTGGCCAACCTGTCGTCCTGGCAACAACTGCAACACCAACTCCAATTGTCACCCCAAAGGACAGCCTCAGTTTCGCTTTTTTCATTTCGGGCTTAGTTCCAATTTCCAATTCAGTTGCTCAGCAACTTCGTTCTCTAGTCGAATTCCCTGTTATAATGTGATCTAAAATGTGTCCTTCTTCCCGTTAATTTTTTAGAAACTTCCCCATGAAGTCCTCGAAGGGGGGCATCAGTAAGAAGAGCAAGACCATGGATTATACCAACTACGCCTACAACGAGGCTGTGGGCCGTTTAAAGGTAATGCTGGCTGACAACTCCTACGTGGCCCCCAAATTGGGAGGAGGAGGTGTGTCTTCCTACTTGCGCAACTTCAATGAGGATTCCGGGGACAACTTTTCCGACAATCTATCGGTGGGTTTGCAATTCACAGGAGTATGTGGTTGATCTTTAACCTTCTGTTCTTGTAGGTCATTGAGCGTCCCGTCTTCTCGGACATTTCCAAGTACTTGTCGCCCAGCCAGAAGTCGCGGATTAGCTCGTATCGCCCCAAGAAGAGCTACACCTCGGGGTATCTCTCGGCTTCCAAGGAGAACCTGGCTTCCACTCCAGCTCTCTACCCAAGCAGCTCCGTTCCGGCTGCTCCTCTTCCCGCGGATAGTGTCCCGGCTCCTGTGGAGATCTTTAGCTTTATCGAGAAGCAAGAGGACTACATTGAGCAGCTGGAAAAGGAGTCCAAGTACTGTCGCAATGAGCTGAGCAATCTGTTGGGCAAAGTCAAAGATGTGATCAATGAGAACGAACAGCTGACGGAGAACGCTCGTTCCGAGATGGTGGCTCTTGGCTCGGGGAAGTCCCAGCCACCGATGGCCACCACTAGCCCATCCTCGGATAGTGATGAGCACTTGGTGTTCGCCAGTGGCCGCAAGACACCATCGACGCCGCGGAAGAGTGCCTGCAAGGGACAGGTGCAGAGTCCCCGCTATGCGAGTGCTCCCAATATCGTTTACGAGGCCAGGATTAGCGAACTGGAAGCCGAGTTGATGCAGGCCAGCATCGATCTAAGACGCCTGCGAACTGAAAACGAGGAGCTCAAGCGGAAACTGGCCCACACCGATCCTCTATCGACGGTGGCCACCCTAACTGGAGGCTCCAATTGCGAATTGCACCGCAAACAGCTGGAGAGCCTGCAGCAGGATAAGCAAACACTAGAAGAGAGTGTTCGCCACCTGCAGAGACTGCTGGACGAGGCCAAGGCCCAGGGCCAGGGAAGTGCCTCCTCCAAGCGGTACATCAGCGATCTGGTGCAGATGGAGCGGTCGCAGGCGGAGCTGGAGGTGCGCCATCTCCGGGATGAGTTGGATCGCCAGCACGAGCGGGTCAGGGAGCTGCAGCACGAGATGGCCAGGCGACTGGCCGAGGAGCGGGCCAGTGCCGAGAGGCGCTACAACAGCCAGGTGGATCAGCTGGGCGGAGATCTCAGCTGCCAGTGGGAGCAGGTGGCCAAGCTGCAGTTGGATCTGGAGCGCCAGAAGCGCTATGAAACCGATCTCAAGCGGGATGTGGCCAGTCGCAATTCGCAGATCGAGGAGCTCAAAATGGAGTTAAGGGCCAATAGGACCACCTTCCTGGCGGACATGGCGCAGGTGAATGCGGAGAAGCAATCCCTGGAGCAGGACATCACCTCGCTGCGCCTCCAATTGGACCGGGCTGCCAGGGAAACCAAAACGGAGGCAGCTCGCCTCACTGCCGAGATTAACTCCTTGCGCCAGCGACTGGATCGAGGGGATGCGGATCTTTTGCACTCCAAACGGGAGGTTCTGCGGCTAAACGACGAGATAGCAAACCTGGAAAAGGAGGTAAGAGTGTAATTAGTTCTAAGTTAAATATAAGTAAAAGTTAAATATGGCATTTTTGTTGTTAAAGATTTCTTTCAATACGTCAATTTAAAAACTTATAGGATCTTCATTTTTTCAATCAAGTTCAAAAATTAGTCTTTATTTAATACTTTTATTTCTAAAAAACTGATAAAAAGCTGAGAAAAAATCTTCTAAAAATCGGATACCTTAAAAATATAATAGGGTATAAGACCCAGTAGCCTTTTAAGAAAATAAATCTTTAAAAACCAATCACTATAAGTGAAAGTTAAATATGGCATTTATGTTGTTTTTAAGGATATTTTTCAATACCTCAATTTAAGAACTTATTATCTTCACTTTTTAAATTAAGTTCAAAAATTAGTCTTTATTTAATTCTTGGCTTTAGTTTCAAACAAATCACTTTAAAATGTGTTTGTTCTTTAAATAATATGATTTACGTATTGCATCAATTAAAATTACTTTTCAGCTTGCTTATGGAGAGCTGAAGAACGAGATACGACCCACCAAAAAAGACCTGGACAAGCGGATCTCAGAGATGCAGGATAAGCATGGTAAGTGGGTTAAGATTGTACTCTAACTGAATCACTTTTGTCTTTCTACACCCTCTCCACCTATCACTATCCTGTCTATAAACTCTGGTTAAGCTATTGATGCTCCTATTGTGTTCTGCGTGTGTGCCAATAAAAAACAAAACATTTTTTAAAATATACCAAAGATTCGAACTCTAAATTATCTACAGAGAAATGTTCAATAGTTTATCCATGAGTTTTGTTCTGTAGCGCGTTTCATTTAATCCCATTTCAAACTATATATCCACATAACTATAGTGTTCAATGTCTGTTTGTAGCGGGAACGGTAAATGAGCTTGAGGAAATGATAACATCTCAGAAGCAACTCATGGATAAACTGACGAACGAGTGTAAGACCTTAACGGGCAAATTAGAGGATACGACCTACAAGCACAAGTAATTATGATCAAATATAACCTAATGTTATCACCAAGCAAAAACTGCAATAGAAATCTATTTGGCTTTTAGAAATCCATATAATACGATAGTTTTATTTTTAAGATTCTAAAATACTTGCAGTTTGATTTAGTTATTCAGTCACCTCTTAATTAAAAAGACACTCCACAGAAAGGTATGCGAATATTTGATTGAAAGTCTATTGACATATGGAAACCACCGCACAGAGCAATATGAAATTCAAGGCCAAACCAAAGTTTTCCCACCAGTATTCCGAACACCAATTTTCTTTTCCGAGATTCGATCCACACCAAAGCAAAAGCAAAAGCAAAAAACATAAACATCTCGACCTGGCTTGAGACTGGATTAACACGCTGTACTTGTACTTCTTCAAACCTTTCTTTTGCTGCCTGCCTGCCACGCAATTTTCATGGTAATTAGAACCAATTTGCGATCTTGTGATGCCAACAACAAGCGAGCCTTTGACCACAACAACAATTGCGGCTCCTACAACAATAAAAGAAAGCGCAAACGAGTTCACTTTGCTGCCTGATTTGGAACTGACCGATTTTCCAGGAGATGTGGCTACTGATGTTGCTGCCTGTACTGCTGATGTTGCTGCTGCTGATGGCGATGAGATCCTGCAAAATATAATCAGAAGCAATGAGCGTCTGGCCAAGGAGTTGGCCAAAATGCCGCCACTGCCGACGATTTCCAGCTACAGGAAGCCCAAAAACAGAGCGGAATCATCACCGCCAACAGCAGCAGCATCGGCGTCAACAGCAGCAACTTCAGCCACATCCAAGACCAAATGCTTTTGCCCCAGTTTCATGCGACACAGACACGAGCATGAACACATCCACACGTTGCGCAGACGCAGCAGCGGCAGCAACAGCGAGACGAGTGTTGCATGTTGCCGCGGTCGCAACGGCAGCAGACCAACGGCAACAGCAACAGCGGCAGCAGCAGCAACATCGACTAACAAAGCGCGTACACAAACCACGCACAGCAAGAGCATGCAATGCCATGGCCACGAGCTCACCCTAGACACGCACCACCAACACGAGCACCACCGCACCACCAGCAGCACCACCGCCGAGCAACATCATCCTGGCTGCTGTCATCCCTGCAAAACGGAGCCGTTGCCTTGGCGGCAACAGCATCTAGTTTTGAACCAGACCCTGAGCAGTTCGCCTGCCTGCCAGCACACGTGTCAAGTGCAACATTTGACGGTGGACGCTGGTGGCACGGCAGCAACATCGGCAGATGCAACATCAACCGCCTGCAAGGGTCCTGGCAGCAATGCCCTGAGTGCCAGCATCAAGCCAAAGTTGTACTTTGAGCAACTGCTGCGACGCGATGGCTGCCACAAGAAGCCACGTCCCCCCGTAAAAGTGGACGTTAATGTGAGACTGGTGCCCAAACAGCCCAAGCCGAAGGTCACTCGCTCCCTGAACGAGACGTTTGTCAAGGAGGTGGACGAGGTGGCCCAGGCTCTGAACGAAACCTTTGTCAAGGATGCGTCGCCGGAATTGGCGCACATCGATGAGCAGCTGGCGGAACTGGAGAGCGATCGAGAGCGGGAGGATCACGAGGAGGAGGACGAGGAGGCGGAGGAGCAGGAGCAGGCCACCAAGCTTTGATAGTGTTTTTTTAAGCCACAAAATAGTCTTAAGTTTAAGGTATATGCCTAGGGAAAATCATTTTAGATAGTACAACATTTTTAAATACATTTAATCCATTTTATGACAGACTCATACAGTAAACAAACCTTGGTAATTCAGATAAGTCTCTTAAATTCTATTATTTTGGAAATTGTTTAGAATACTTTTTAAAAGTAAAAAAAAGGCATCAATTAAGAACAAAACCATTTACCTGAGCGTTATAAAATGGATTAAGTATAATCCTTTCAAATTTAATGAACTTTTTATTTAGTTTAGAATAAAAGAGCACAAGAGCTTCTTGATATTAAAGCCACTAGTCATTTGGTTAGCACTTTTAAAGTAATATTTACGCTAAATTTAAATACATTTATAATTTCTTAAGTTAGATTTTAATTTGCCTGATTTAAGTAGACATATTTACTGATTTTATTGAACCGCAGTCTAGAGAAGCAGCAGCTCCGTGCCACAAACGAGCAGCTGATGTCACGCCTCAGACAGATCTGGGGCAAATACAAATCACAACTGCCAATGCACCAAGGATCCCCCGAGCCGAGCTCCGAGAACATGAGGATCGAGCACCCATTAGAACCCTTGTCGGTAAGGACTTTCTTCAATATTTGACTAATATCCTTTTTCCCTTTCTTTCTTCCCTCTGCTTGTCTACCTGTCTTTCTCTTTCTCTATATCTACCCCTATCTTTTTACCACCTTGAAGAGAGGAAATATCTGCTTTACAATCGAATCTAGAATATCTATCCAATCGCATGTTGAGTAATGAGGAGCATATGAGTAAATTAGATAGCTCACCACATGATTATACTAGCTTAGTTCCTGGAAAAGGTAAATGCCCCAAGTGGGGAAGACTAACCAAGTAGAGCACTGCCCATTCACAGTCCCGAATTTTAAACTGATTTCACCACCCCATCAGAGCCGGAAGTCGAAGTCACGGAGACGGATCTGCCCGGGAAAGACCATATATAGACCCAATCACACCCAGACTCCACTTTCACACCTATAACATTCGATTGGCCAGCCACTCTAATCAAAATTCTTGTACTCACACAGCCGCTTACGACTACCAGGCAGCGACATATGGCACCCCAATCGAACCCATACAAAGCACCCCACAACCACACAACAGCGCCGGCAATGACGACGACTACACGCCCGGCGGGATTGGCCTGGCCGATGGAGCCACTGCATCCGCCTCTGCAGCAGCCACCGCAGCAGCCAGCATTGCCGCAGGAGCAGCTGCAGCGGGAGCAGGATCGGGAGCGGGATCAGGAGCCACGGGTCGCAAGAGCAGCATCGCCGACTATGGACTCCAGGATAACGATGACGAGAATCTCAAGGACAACCTTGGCCTGGGCGAGAAGCAGCAACAACAGCAGCAGGACCTGGACAGACAACGCGAGCGGGAGGAGCGCGACCGGGAGCTCCAACAACTGCGGGAGCAGCGGGAAAAACGCGAGCGGGACCGGGAGCGGGAACGCGAGCAGGCCGAGCAGCAGCAGGCGGAGCAGCAACAGCAACAGCAACAGTTGCAGCCACAGCAGCAACAACCCCTGGCCGAGAGCAACATTGCCAACGCCGGCAGCGCCAATCTGGCCGCCTACAACACCGACTACAGTGCCTACGATCAGCAGCAGTACGACGCCAGTGCCTACGATCCCAGCACCTATGGCCAGCAGCAATACGAGGGGCAGCAGTACGAATACGGCGATGCCGGGGCCGGCTACGACTACGGAGCTGCTGACTATGGACAGTCTGGATACCAGTATGACGCCGCGCCAGGAGGCACCACTGCCAGCCAGCCACAGCCCCAGTCTCAGTACCATGCGCCAGCTGCCCCCCAGCGAGTGGCCACGGACTACAACAGATCGCCACCGCCGTTGGCAGCGGCGACAGCGGGCATCACGTCCCCGCCAGCAACAACAGGAGCAGCAGCAACACCAGCCACACCAGCAGCAACATCCGCAGGAGCCGGAGCCGGAGCAGGAGCTGCCGTATCCGGAACGGGCCGACCACAATCGCGCCCGGGCAGTGGAGCTGTGGGGTCAGCAGCTGCTGCTGGAGCAATCGCCGGCGGAAAATCCGCTGTGCCACAACAGCCTGCCGCGTCAGCCGCCGGCAAGAAGTAGCTGGAGTCCCGACTGCGAGTATCGCCTGGCGCTGGAGTGCTCCATCAGTAGTCCCAGCCTGATGCGTTCGTCCAACGATGAGACCTGCTCAGAGCTGGCCGATCTCAGCGAGACCTTCTTGGTCCTGGTCGACGGTTCGGAGGAGGAGAGCTTGTCCCCGGCCCACACCACCATCATCACGGCCAGGAGATCGAGTGCCCCGGCCGTGGTCCAGCAGGCGGACATTGCCAACGAAACAGTCACCATCGAGCGCCATCTAGATGCCCACGAATAGGGGTCAGCACCGAGTTCTCCAGCAACAGTTTCTTCTTCAGTCAACATACGTACTTCTACTCATGTGTTCCAGGATTAATCACTGAAAGGAAATTCATGTTTTTTAACTAATAAACCAATTAGAAATCGAAATCGGGAAAAAAACCTATATTCTTATTATATAAAATACACGTTAGTTTCAAAAGCTTTAGGTATTTAAAAAAATTGAATTAAGTCTATAAAGATTGGGATGAGGGAAGATATAAGCTTGGGTCAAAACAAAAATACAGATTAGTTATGGCATAAACAAATATTTCCTTTGTGAAGACGGTTTAATGACTGCATAATACATAAACGTCACAATCACTTTTACTCTCCTTCATAAAAATGGACTTTGCCACTTTCTTAATTATCGTAACTATTAGTGTTGGAACTAATAAACAACTTCATGATGTGGCCTTGGGCCACGCAATGTTGTCAAAACAACTAAAATGATAGGCAGACGGATATTGTTCATGTCCTGACTGACATCCTCGTCAATTGCCAGCGACAACTGGGCTAAGCACTCATAAAGTGCCAAAATAAAATGAACTTGACTTTGAGTTTGGAGGTTAGTGTTTGGCCGTTTTGATGAGGTAGCACTGCGACACGAATGTCACTAATTTTATTGAGTTTGCGAGATATAGAGGTGGAGGACGATGATCTAGGAGCTCTCGGGGTAGGCGGTGGCTATCAGGCGCATGCCATTCCAGTTCCATCCAAAGGAGACAATCGTGGCAGAGGCATGGCCCAGCTGGATGTGGCAAGGTTCCTTCTCCACCGTGGTCAGAAAGCAGGCGGTGTACAGGCTCATATCCAGCTCAGGTGAGGTGCCAACAAAGAAGCCATTTACTGGTTTCTTTAAGTTGTGGAACGTTTGTCGCAGGCTCAGCACCATTTGGTTGTGCTGAAAGTTTATTATTAGAGTTAAGCATATGAATTCTTTTGAGGAAAACAGAAAGACCCACCTTTCCCATTTCCGTATGGCTTAACCATCCCTTGTAGTCCACATTGCCACGCTGCTCCTGATCTGCAAAGTATAGCCAATTATGCAGGCCCAGGACCTTCTGGTCTCGGATCTCGGCCATAAACACGTGCTCAAAGCTGGAGCTGCCCACGATGCCACGACCTCTGGAGTATGGAGTGAACCACAGCTCTTGAAGGAGACGCAACTGATCGTCATACTCGATGCTCACGATGTCTAGAGAGGATCGAGGAGCTTGTTAGATTTGTTATAGCAAATTGCAATCTTTAACTGGCTTACCCTTCTTTACCAGATATCGCATGGTGAGCTTCATCACCCGCGTGTTCATCACAGCCCTGAGGAAATCGTGCTGCTCCTGCAAGTGCTCGGAAATTGGTTGCTCGGCCACGGAAGTATCCAACTCATAGTTGTCGAAGAGTCGCATGAGTAGGGCGGTGGTGGAGTTGGCATCCCTCGCCAGCAAATCCTGGTGTAGTTCAAAGAGACTGGAAATAATAGTTTAAGAAATATGCTGGTTAATAAAAATTTACATTGAGCTTCAACTGAGAAAACGAATAAAATGTTGGCAGAATGAGTAAAAGCTATTTTTACCTCTAATAAATTTACTTACTTTCTGCATTATAGATTCAGAAATTACTTTTAAGCCTAAATTCATTTGGGTGACACAATATACAATATATATTTTAAGCAAAGGAAAATAATCATACAAAATGTGATAATGTATTCATTTCACAGGTAATTGCTATTTTTCACTCTAGTAATCAAACGACTAATTTTGTCTAAAAATCCCACGAATTAATTCAAAATGAATAATTATGGGTACATTTCTGGGTACTCACTTCTTAGGGGCTCGGTCATCGTGGGCACCGGAAGTGGTCTTCCCCTGGAGATTCACCTTGTACAGGTACGGACTGACCTCTGTCTCCTCCGCGTAGAGGTTTTTGGAGAGGGTCAAGACGTCGTCGGGCGTTCGGGGCAGCGGCTTGCTGTGGAAGTACTCTAAGAGAACAACTAGTGACCATTCTCTTAAGGAAGAGCGCCAAATGAGCCCACTCACCGTAGAAGTGCCAACTCAAGATGCCAATAGTGATCAGTAGGCCGACGATTACAAATCTCTTGAGCTTCTGGCATTTGACGCTGTCGATGTTGCTGCTGGTGTTTGTTTGCTGCTGCACTGCGTCCATTATGATATAATTATCTTATAACGATTATTCAAACATTTGTTTTTGCCCCTTTGTTTGTGCCTCTCTATTAACGCTGTTTGTCTTTGGCCGAATCTTTTGCGTTGATCGCGTTTTATTTGCTCATTCCGACCGACTGCCTCTGAGCCTAAAAAGCCACTGAGTGCGATTGTTCCAGTGCTGATCCGCATGCTCACATGCTGAATACATGAGTAGTTTTGGGGCAACTTGAGTTGGATAAAATGGTGTATTTTGGGTATTCTGGCTCTCTTGGGAATCATCTGTTGTCAGCAGCTTTTTGTTTGCCCAGGGGCGGATTTGGTGGGCCCCGTTTGCTAAACGGAAATATCGTACATATGGCGACCTTTATTAGGGTGTTTTGCAGAAAAGCGGTCAACTAAAGTATTCATTCGTTAACGCAATTAGTATTTTTGTTTAGGTTTTAATGACTAAAACTTTTGAAAAAAACTTTGATTATGTATCTTTATTAAACTTTGGGTTAGCCAGTTTAAGTTATAATAAAATGTGCGCTAGTAATAATTTTATATTTCTAGTTGCTTGTATCTTTAATAACAATAATGATTGTTGGGTCCAAAACATTTAATAGGCTTCCCTATAAAAGAACATATGGCTGCCAAGCTGAAAAGTTCTTACTACTTAAATAATTCCCAACAACGTGACTGAAATCAGTCAGTGGGGAGCTCTTAAACAAATAATTTAATAACGCAATTAGCAATTTGTTTGTTTCACCAAATATCGCGTCATTTGTATTGCCGTCTCGACTGCAATATAATTACACCCAATTCGGGTCTAAACCATAGTGTGTATCGCAAAAAACCTTCAACAGGAAACTGTGACGTGATTAGAAAAAAATTAACAAATAAATTGTGAGCAAAATATTGTATGATTACACACTTGAAAATTAAAAATTTTTTTATCCATGACGTCGCATTTTATAGCCGCAACATGTTATATTTTTATTATCTAGACTGCAGTATAATTACACCCAAATTGGATATAAATAATATTTTGACACCAAAAAAAGGTTGAGAGGTGATAAGAACCATATGCAATATCTACAATTTAACCCAAAATCAATTGTAATTACTTATTTAATACTTTTGCGACTACCACACGCAAAATGTAGATTAAAAGTAAACTTATCTAAGAAAACTAATAGTTTGTCACGAACAAATAATAATTGGCACCAAAAAGAAATTGGTTTGCAAATTATTTATTTACTTCGACCACCAATTTTTTGACATTCGAAATATCCAGAAAAATAACTCTTATTACGTTTTGATAGTTTGTATTTGTATTTAATAGCAGGAAGTGGAATGAATGAATCTTCTAATATATTAACTAATTAAACATAATTTTTCTAATTTTTTTATTTTTTAAATTTATAAGTGAAACTGGAATGGCGCAGCAATCACTTTGAATATTAAATTAAAAAGGTCCAAATAAGTAAAATACGTTAAATTATAATATTGTATTTTCGTTGGAAGATCAAACTTATGTTTTAATCGGAAATCATGTTAATAATTAAACTTAGAATTGATCTGCTAAGCCTTTAAATAGATATTGCTTTACTTTGCAGAAGGAACTAACATAAACAGTTTGAAGTAAATGAATCTATCCACCGAATTCTAAAGCTCCGAATAGCTTCAGGCACCGAAGCGCGTTTTCCATTGATTAGAGTGTTAATTATGTTATGCCTAAAATATCATCCAACACTCTCACGCAATATTGACCCCATCTTAGGAAATAGGGAACAAGTCAACGACGACTTAAGAACGCCCCTCACCTCTCGACTTGCTTCGGTCTCTGGCTGATAGTGAACGATGTTTTTCAGTTCGGGCTATTGTTGCTCGGCCATCTTTTATAAAGCCCAGGCTGGTCGGAAATTTTGTTCAGTTCGAATTTTAACAGCGTCGTGAGCAGTTGCTCGGCATTTAATATAAATTGTGAGTGTTAATTGTAATCTAGTGATCTATCGTAAATATAAATGCAAATATTTCCAATTGAGTTGACTTCCTAAATTGCCTTTGCTTGCGATACCCATTCATATGAGAGTATAACAAACAATCTGAGTGTGATATTTGAATGGAACTTATTCTGTACAAAAAACATTGACATTGTTTGTTTGTTTGTTTGCGGCCTCTTGGTTCAAGGGGCTCATTAGGTATAAGCTGCAGTATTTTATTCAGTTAGTGATAGTGAGTAGGTTTTTTTAAAAATAGCGCAGCGATTATACAATTGATAAGGTAAGGCCCACTTGTTTGGCGGAATTAACAATTAACAACATAGGGCAGCAGATCATTTTTTTTTGATAAGAATATATATATGTATGATTTGTTAATGTGGAAGAACCAAATTAATTTTTTGTGATAAGGGCAATAACAGCCCTTAATTTTAAAGTACCAACAAATTTTTATAATGATAATTTAAAAAAGGGATAACCACATTATTTATTAAATTGCAATATAAATAAGTATGAAAATAATGAAAGTTTATAGTTTACTTTTAAATATGAATTATGTGTCAATGAATATACTTATGATAATTTTATTAATGTGTTGAAAATAATATCAAAGAAGTACTTCCTAACTTGTTTGACATAGGTCTTAAAAGTATATACTTAAAATTTGAAAAGCCTATTTTTTATTTATATTTAAAGAAAGCCTTTTCCCAACGGCTTTTGCTCTTCCATAATCTCGGAAGGTCCACAGGTGGGTCACCGGGTTTTGTTTGTTTTAGGCGTGTTAGTTAGTGGGGTGGAGTCCCATTGACACTTATTATGTGATGTGATGCCTTATCGGTAGACTGCCTAAAAGATTGCTTTAGGCCTGACTGAAATTTCAATTGTTTGGGCAGGTGGCTCAACTCAAACCCCTTCAACTACGCCCTTGTGCCAGCTCTCGCTCTCTCTAACGGGTAGCTTTTGCTCCACAAGGTTTTGGCGGGCTCCCTCTCGCGAATCTTTGCCGGCAGAGAGTGTCGAATTGGTGAATTCGCTCCGCCGACGGCCCCACAATTTGCCGCGCTCAGTTTTCAACCTGAACGCAACGTGTGCGGTTCTTTCAAATCCCCAATTCGCATTCTACGGTCCGGTCTTCGGTTTTCAACGGCACACAAAAACCAATCAAGTTCGCCAATAAAAAATAGTAAACAAATACAGCAGAAGCGGGAATAAAATATATACATATATGTAAAAAAAAAAACTAGAAAGAGGCAACAATTGAATGATAGTGGAACGCTAGCGGAATTATGAAAGAATTGGGTGAATAAAAGCAAACGGCAAAAGAACTGTAAATACGCGCTATCTTCCTCATCGAAAGCGCTCAACAGGCAACAGCTGATTAAAACGCTCTTTCTGTGCGTTTTTACTTTGTACACATATTTACATATATTTAAATTTGGTTTTGGGTTCGTTGGATTTTTGCATTGCCAGCCATAAAAGAGCCGCACAGCAGCGGACTTGGAATTTATGGATTTATGTGGTGTCCTTGCAAACAAGTGTCGCCTCCGGCAGCAGCAGATTGTTATTGTTGTTTTTTGTGATTACCATTAGTTGTTGTTGTTGTTGTGGCAGTCATTATCCTTTATGCCCGTGATGAGCACATGAAAAAGTGTGCATCTGTGTGTTTGAGTAGCGGCTGTGTGTGTGTGTGTAAGCCAGGCCATTTATGGCTTTAACGACAATTTAAAAGGATTTAAAAGAGATAAGGATTCATTTAAAGCAATAGCTTTTTAAATCTTTATTAATCTTTTTTATCAATTACTTTATGCAATTAATGCATTGATCTGTATATTTTATTTTGAATAAACTAAAACAAACTTTTCACTTAAAAAAACTGGTAATTTATATATAAATTATTAATAAAACCATCATTGCTTTATAAGTGAAATTCTTTGAAATATTTACAAAATGATGTACTTCCAAATTATTATATTATATTATCAATAAATTCTTAAATATCAAATTTAAGTATTTCGTTCCACCTTTCTTATTAATACCAATAAAAATACATTATTAAAGTATACACTTTGGAATTATTTTGTACGAATTATTATTATTATTACGAATTTATTTAGCAAAACCCATGAACTTTCAGAGCCTTTGAAAATTGTTTTAAAGTTGTTATAAACCAGGCCATATTTGAAGAGTTCACAGCACTTCACATCTGCCACTTGGCAACCGACAGAATGTTGTTTTTGAGTTCTATAAAATAAATTCTCATACCGAGTGGCAAAAAGAGACAGGGACAGAATTGCAACCAAATCCATGGCGACACTTGAGTGGCAGCATCACAAAACAAATATACACGTACACTCGTACGAACACAGTCCTGTGGCAGGCACTTTGGCAACACCTGACCTGCCTCACATGCCCCTCCGCTTGTGCCTGTACCACCCACCTCCCTCCATCATCCTTCCCTGCCCCCCCTACTCTGGGCTGGCTGTCTAGTAGCTGTCCATCAAGTTTGCCTTAATTTAATTAAGCGCTCAATGTCCTTACTGGCAACACTCTCTCACTCGCACACACAATAGCAGAAAAACACCGAAAAAAATCATAAAAGTGAATAATAATCAAACAGGATATTTACAAATATTGGAAACGATTAACAATCACTTATTAACAATATTCATTTTAACAATAACAGTAACAGTTAACATAATATTTTAATCAAATATCTTCTTCAAATCTAAATATTTTTATTGGGAAATTTAAATTTAGAAACAATAAAGATTATGATGTTTTTCAGAATTAGAGGTAAATTTTAATTTTAAATAACTTGCTTAAATTATGGTGTAAAATACTTCAGGGTCTCTGAGTAAATCTTTTAAAAATAAACTTAAACCATTTTCAAATTAATATTTTTGAATAATCATAAAAAGCTTCTCAAAAAGATTAAGTACTTATGATAAGTATACAGAAAAAACATCGAGTTTTCCCTTAGTGCAGAGACACAAGGCAACGCTTGATTTGTTGCTGCCTTTTTTCACTCTTGACTGCAGCCGACACTCACACTCGCGCACACACACCAGTGCCCACCACTTATACACTTACAGGCCCAGACTTGAACCGCAAAAGCCACAGGCCATTTTGGCATGAAGGATATTACAAAACGCACACAGACGCGCACATCCTGGCGCGAAGCCAGTGTTCTGGTGCTCCCCGAAGGGGTCTTGTAGACAAGGTTACTGCGAGATGGCAAATTTTTTATAGTGGATCTTTGCCTGCACGCCCCCTCTAAACCGCCCACTCTATCCACATCCCTCCGCCTCCCCCTTTTTCCAGCAAAAAGCAACAATAACATGGCGGCCACCTGCTGCGGCTGCACTTGAGTCCACTTTTCCATTTTTTTCTGCCTGTTTATTTCCCTGCCCGCCCTTGTACCATATCTATTTCGTTTGTCTGTCAGTTCTTGAATTTTTAATAAACTTTTGTATTTACTTCTTTTCAAATATTTTCCTTTGGCATGACTGCTGTTTTTGCTTTTCCCTCGGAAAAATGCCTTTGTCGAAAAGAAAAAGGAGAAAAGTCAGCCAAAGTAAGCTAAATACTTTATTTATTATTCATCAAATTCCGTTTGCTAAATGAGAATTTTCCTGTGGACTCATAAATATTTATGTATGTATGATGTGTGGTTTGCATGGAAATTTGTTTTTCTTCTGCTTGATTTGTATGTCACAAAAATATTTGCTTAACGTAACGTAAATAATTTTAATTTGTTGCGGAATTCTATTATTTTATTTAATTTCTCGACATAATCATTATTTCGCATTTTTGAGCGCTCTTGCTGTTTACATTTCCGCTTTTTGAACAGAGAATTCTCCCACACTCTCTCATTTTCCACAGTTCTTAGTGGAACACAGGGGGTATGATAATTTTTGTAGGCGAAAGCCAGCCACAAAGCATGGGGGTTCGGGGGTCAACTCGGGGCAGGTCGAGGGCAGGGGTAGGGTCAGCTAATGAACTCGAGAGCAGGCCACGCTGCCTGGGAGGTGATTAGAGATGGCCAAATATTACATAAGCCGATATGTAGTCCCAATCATGGTAAAATAGACTTTGATACTATCAAAAAAGAGATTTTTTTATTTTAAGCTGCATTTTATTTTATAATTGTAGAACTAATAATTATATACTTAGGTCTAAAAACAAATTTGGCCTTGTACATTTAAGCCACCACGAAGAGTGATTTAAAATCAAAACCCCATTTTAAAATATTGATTGTTCTGGGATTTTTCACAGAACACTTTTAGCCCATTTCTATTAATTTTCAATCAATTTTAACCAACTTACCTTTTTCACGATGTCATCTCTACAACATGGAGATGTTAAAAAATGTATGAGCAAGTGGGTTTGGGGGAGGCGATGTATTGGGCTTTTGCTTCGGCTTAACTGACAGACGTTAATTTGAGCTTGGATATAATCATGATGATGATGTTATTTTTGTTTTTGTTGCTCGACGGCGAAGGCATTGACTTTTAGCACGTGCTGTGCTCATTTTTATATGAGCCACTGTTTGTTGTTTTGATTTTGCTTTTGCCGGGAACGTTGAGACGCATTGTAAAACTGTCAATTTTAATTAGTGCGCAAAAGAACGGCCACAACAAATTGAATAAATTCTATTTACCCTCAACACTTTCAGCTTAAAAGCCACATCGATAGGGCCAAACGCTAAAAAAGAGTTGGAAAGTAAAAGCTGACAAAAACGGAGCATAAACATGAACAGCGATGAGGTGCAACTGATTAAGAAGACCTGGGAAATCCCTGTGGCAACACCCACAGATTCTGGAGCGGCGATACTGTCGGAGTTCTTTGCCCGCTATCCGTCCAACTTGGAGAAGTTCCCCTTCCGTGATGTTCCAGTGGAGGAGTTAGCCGTGAGTCAATTAAAATTCAAGCTTAAGTTGGTTAGAGTAACACGGTATATTTGGTTTCAGGAAAATGCTCGTTTCCGAGCGCATGCCGGCAGGATCATCCGAGTCTTTGACGAGTCAATCAAGGTTCTGGGGCAGGATGGCGATCTGGAGAAGCTGGACGAGATCTGGACTAAGGTGGCCGTCAGTCATATTCCGCGGACCATTACCAAGGAGTCTTATAATGTAAGTCAAGCGCAAAAGTATGCAGACTCTAAATTATAAAACATTTTAAAATCGTGTCCATCGTTTTTGAATGAGTTTATTAAATTTTAAATTTCCTTATTCATTTGACAGCAATTGAAAGGCGTTATCCTGGAGGTGCTGACCGCTGCCTGCAGTCTAGACGAAAGTCAAGCGGCCACGTGGGCCAAGCTGGTGGACCACGTCTATGGCATCATCTTCAAAGCGATCGACGATGACGGCAACGCCAAGTAGAGGAGGCACCTGCAGCAGATGCAACCGATTCCGAGGATGCACCTAATGCCGGCGGTGGCACTTGCAACACATGCACAGCTTATGTAGTTCTAAGTAATTGATAAATGTTAGCTATTCTCGTTTTGTAATAATGAATGCGAATGTCCAAAGCGAACACACACAGTGGAAATCAATGTATGCGTAGAGCTACTCACACACGCGCACTCCCCACACACACACCCGCACTTGCATTGCTCTGTAAAGCTTTAACCCATTGTCAGCCTTAAGCACTTGATAACAAAGGAATAAATGAAATCAACAGAGGAGAAATAAGAAAGCTTATAAATAAAATCCAGTTCGAAATCATATGGCATTTTATATTATTTCATAAAACATTTTATTTTTATTTGTTTGCAAAATTTTGTTAATAAAAAACATAAATATATGATATATATATGACCTCAATAAAAAGTCAAACAGTAATTCATATAAAATATTTGAAGAGGTTATAATCAATTCAAAGCATACAAAGATTTTTTTAGCATATATATTTTAAAACTTTTAAAATTTGTAGGCAGCTATAGTTGCAACAAGAGCTCATCTACTTAGCAAATGCGTATCCCATCGGCCTCGCTCTGTAAATCCGCATAAAATCATAATTATAATAATTGTCCGCTCACTCAAAACTAGGACAACGCAAAAAGCATTTAGGCACACTTCAAAACCATTTCCGCACACTATTTTCCGCTGCCGCAACACACACTATAAGTTGGCCAAACAATTGCAAACATCGTTCAGCTGCGGTGGAAATGCTATTAATTTTGTTGGATATAAAAGCATATAAGGATAGTGTGGGATAAACATGGTAAACGCGGAAAAGCTGTTTATGTTTTAGCCGAAACACGAGTCTGGGCAAACAATGGCGGCGTATGAGCAATGCAGGCATGGTGACATTGCGTATACGCCATGATAGCACTTGCAAAACATGAAATAGCAAAAGGTTAAGAAAATTTAATTTTATTAGAATAATTTATATTAATCATTCGCACACCTTTAAGAAGCGCTAATTGGGGGCGTTTCTTGCCCGAGATTTCCGCGCAATCAGCCAATTGACTTTGGCTGGGCAGATAACAGAGCCCACTGACCCAACAGCCGCTAACAGCTGTTATCACACTGTCTTCTTATCATTGGTGAAATGTTCGGAACATTGGTGAAATGTTCCACCAAAACGCCTTCGACGAGCTTTTCCATAGTTTGGACAATAATGAAGAACAAAAAAAAACAAAGCGAACAGTTTGCCAAAGCGACCGCGAATTTCAGTTCAATTCCGGCAACGCGCGCGCATCGAAGTGAGCAAGAAATTCTTTTTCTGACGGACATAAATCTTTCGCGATATATTTGGTGATATTTTTTTGATTTTCTTTTCACGCGGCTAAGTGACTGTGTGTTTTCGTTTTGTACAAACTAATGTCGGAAAATTGTCTGCCGTCAACTATATAAATATAAATGTGAAAACGTTGGGAAATCTAATTGCCCGATCTCTTAAACCCATGCATAGTTGTTAAACTAACTAAAAACAAACTGCAATAGAAAAATTTGTGAAAATAAATGTTAGGTATTTGAAATATTTTAAGGAAAGGAAAAGGTGAGCTGGAAAATCAGATTTTCATCTTTGTACCTTGTCAAAAGCATTCCGAACATTCATTGTCAAGTCTTTTTAAGCTCTTACTCAACATGTTAGAGGACACGGACTGCTACTTCGGATTAGACACGCCCACCAGCAATATTTCATGCAAATTCACATTCTCACACTCACCACCTTTTCCCCTTTCTTCTTGTGATGATAAAAGCAAATGATTGCAAAACAACATTTGGCTCCAGGGTAAATATCGCAAAGTTCCATTTCCCCTTAGTTGCGAAATTAAAATAAAATACCTCAATGTAAATTCCCATCATGTTGTGGGAATAGACAAAGTATCTTGCCAATAAGGAAGAGGAAAAAGGCACAGTTGACTTTGTAGCACACATTGAAGTCTGTTATTATTGAATTTGCATAAATCATTGAAGCGGATTCTTTTTAGCTTCGCTGGATAGAGACTTTTGCACCAGCATTAAATTGAATTTGATGCCTGGGGCATTCAAACTAAACTTTGTGGGTAGAGCGAAGGAAACTATAAATTTCAGATTTTCAAGTTTTGCAATTCTTAAGAATTTAAAATTTGTCAACAATGGAATGGGCTTTAAGCGACGAATTAAATCTCATTGTTACGTGTTGTTACCCAATTTTCTTCAAGATATTCAAATTTTGAGCACAGAAAAAAACGTTATGGTCGGCAATATTTTATTTCTTTATTGCCCCTTGGTAACTTTCCTTCTAAGAATATTTCACTAAATCAAAAATAAGTCTTTTCTGTTACGGTCTGTGGCGTAAAAATATCAATTATCCAGTTCTCTTTTCACCGCCCATTTTTGTGACTGGCAGTATCCTTCTGCTGTCGCCATTGTCATATATTTTGAGCACTATTTGCCAAACACCCCATGCTGCGATGCTGTGAAAAAGGCAACACTTAGTTGGTCAAACACAGCACTGTGCATACATACATACTACATAATGCTGCTGAGGGCAGGGCAAAAATTGTGGTCACACCTCCGTCTGACATATGTGCATTTGCTATAGCCATGTGATAGCGCAAATATTCCTTAATCAATTGGTAAGCCAACACCCTAACAAATATTAACATGTTTTTGTAAAAGGGTAAGGCTAGCCAAATATACCAAACTTTCCCCGCCCAAATGGTTTTGGCTTAAGCGATTGTTTTCCGCCAAGAAGAGAACAAGTTTTCGTTTGTCTCCAAATTGTTTCGACGATATGTGGTAAGAAGAAAAGTTTTTTTAAGTCAAATAAGTTGCTCAGTTATTTGAGACAGAGAGAATCATGTGAATATGCCAAGTTTCAGTTTTTCTCTTTAACATTTCAAACTTTTTAAAAATAGTCGCATAAGACCCCCATGGCGTCATATTGCAGCCGGCTTTTAAGCACACTCAAAATTAATTAAATTCATTAAAGCACCGATTTAATTACAGTTCATTTGGCTGCAGGCTGTGGACTGAAAACGATGCATCAAGGAATTTAACACGCGGGCCATAAAGGCCACCACATGTTCGTTTTGTGGCTGCTGTGGATGTTCCCACATTACTTAGGGAATCCCAGCTCAAAAGTTGACGGGGTCAGTCTTTGAAGCTTAATTATCTGTCATGTATAGACAACAAAAGTAGGGTTAAAGCCAAAGGTAAAACACTCAGATTTCTTGGAATTTTGCTTTAATTAACATTAGCCGTGCTCTTTTAACGTACTTCTTTGTCTAAATTTAATTAAATTTATGACAGCATTAAAAATTCATAAATAATATATATTTAGCATGGCCAAAGCCCTTTGAATTAGCTGATGACAAATGGACATTTAAGTTTCATGCAAATGGAGGAGATCTAAAACCGATTTATATTTTCGAGTTTAAAACCGAGGCTATGGGGTGATATTAAAATGGGGTTGGCAACTGATGTCCATATGGATTCGCGCGCGTTTCTGAATATCGTGTATTAATTTCTGTTTATTATGGACTTTTCCGTAATCTTATCGAGCAGGCAGACGGTAGAAAAGCGGCTTGATTGCGCGTTAAAAATAAACAAACGCCTATAAATAGACGGAAAAGGCCCAATCGTAGACGGTTTGTCTTCCGACGGCGGCCACGGTTCATTTCCATTCTATTGTCAAGCCTGTTTGGCAAAGGTTATATATTCGCAATAAAAAAACCGATACACTGATTGATATTGAACATAAAAGTTTTGAAGTAGCTTAGATTGAAGTGCGACAACTAATAGAGTGCTTGAATCGATGTGTAAACTTATATGGGTTTATATTTGTACTTAATGGCATTGAGTAACTGTATTTATAAATAGAAATTGCATTTTGTGAAAGGGTAAGCAAAATAAAATTACGTAGTTCACATATGTTTGAAAAAGCTGGAAAATATATCTGCCAAATCCATCTTTTGTAATTGTCAGTTTTTGTCGTGCACTAATTTTATTAGGTGTTTCTGTAAGAAAAAAAAGTTAATTTAATTAAATTATTTTGTTACCGAGTATTTAAAAGAAGTTTTGGATTGTTTCATTCAAATAATACAATTTCAATTGCATTTCATTAACTTTGTTGTTTCAAATTCAATTCAATTATTGCGGTTCTGTTTCTGATTTCGAGAAATAGAATCGATTTAAATTGGCACAGTTTCCTACATAAGCTTGGAAACTTTTTTCCATTGTTATTATACCATAAACCTTCACAATCCAGCGAACTTTTTGACATTATTTGTAGGAGTGCAGACGCGCACTTATTTTTGCTATTTCTTCCACTTGGCTAACTCGACCCTGGCTCAAGTTGTCTTTAAGAAATGCTTTCGAAAGCTTTAGCTACTCCTTTACTTTTTAGAGAAACAATTTTTAAATTGAAAGACTTGCCTTCTTTAATAAAGGAATATTCATATTTGATGTTAAAATCCTTTTCGTATTTACAATGTATACATTTTAAAATTTATAATGATGCATTTTCTTTGTCAACAAGTTTGTTTTACGGCTCACAGTTACAGCAGGCATGCAAAACCCAAAATCACATCGATTTAGACTTGTTTGCTTTGCTCGTTGAGTGCTTGATAAAACAGAAACGAAAAGCATGAATAAAAGTACGGCAACACGACCGATGTCCATGTGTGTCTGAGTGCGGGGCTTAACACGCTCGACGGGCTTACGGCCAGGCTCCGGGCCAAAAGCAAAATGGTCAGAAGCAAAACGGCCAAAGGCACGGTGAGTTACAAAAAAGAGTTCGCCGGTGCTCCGAGGTCCGGACATGATTGATTCGCCCGGCGGTTTGGTGGTGACTTTTGGGCGGGGCGATCTTAATCAGTCAGTGCTCAGCACTCGCCCGCTAAAAATAAACTGACATTCGGCTGAAGACTGGGCCTGAAACTGATAAGACCGTCGATGATGTCCATGCCAATTTGTTAATAAATTTATTTTGATTCGGTCGGTAGCTGCCGAGCGTATACGCAATGAAAATATTTACTTGGTTTCTATTTCTGGCCTTCTATCAATGCAAATAGTGTGCTTCAGTATGATTGATGTTGGCACATTGGCAACCGGCCTGCGCGGTTCGCAAATGAAATTAGGCTCCTTCGATCCACCGATCGCTGATATCGATGGCAGGCACATGACCCACAGAGTCTTCATATCTCGCTGGCATTTGGCATTCTATTTTCTGGATTGTCATCGGTCGAGTGATGAATTCTTATTAATTGCCGACAGCTCCGATTGCCCGC